TTCAAACTACTGTTGATCCATGGTCGATCATTAGAATGGATTTTAACTGAAAAATCAGGCATGATTAAATCCAAACCATAGTTTATAATCCTGGTCACAAAATAAAGCTTTTGATCAATTGAGGATATCGAGGATAGGATGTCCCATGGTATTTCCTGAAGATATTGACCCAAACTTCTAATGTCACTGGGTCGTTTGTCTCTCACTTTTATCATACGTGATTGAGATTTCTGCGATCTTTTTTTTTTTAATCCAGGACGCATGATAATTGACAGATGATCAGATAGGCCAAAAGGAGGAACACTAACAGGAGATAAGTAGTATTCAGACATATTAGTGTAAATTTGATCCAGGATATTATAGCACCTCTGGTAGGAAAATCAATGACTGGCTTAAGCTGAAACGTTTTAACAATAGACCACAAATCAAGTTTATTAAAATCCCCAGCGATGATAATTCCAGAATTAGGAGGTAAAGACTCAATATGTTCTAATGAAGACTGAATGTACTCTCGCATACTTGCACAATCAGCATCCGGTGGATGGTATACAACAGCTATTACAATCCTTGAATAATCTCTTGGAAGACGTTTTGGTCTTAAGGCTGCCCACAGGACTTCGTGGTTGTCATTATCTAACTCCGTTATGCGGTTACAAGGTATAGCATTGCTGACATACAAACAGACTCCACCGTGGGATTTATGTTGGCGGTCACGCCTTAATAATTGGTATTCTGTGATATTGATGGCATCATCTGGGATAGTGTCTTTTAACCATGTTTCACTGAAAAAGGAAACGTCTATGTCATTAGAGGCGAGGGATACAGCTATTTCGTCAATTTTCGGAGCTAAGGACATAGTGTTTGACAACAATACGGATGGTACAAAATATTTGTGTGGCAAACATGACGCGGTTTCTGTATTTGCATTATTCACAGAGACTTTATTAATCAAATTGTTAAAGTTAATTTCCTTGCGACGATTTGAAGTTCGAATTAATTTTTCCTGGTTTCTATATAGACAAGGTCCAAATATGCGTTCCAATTCTCCTTCCATTCCGGGGGGCGACGGAAATTTCTCACGTGCCGAAAATAACGGGGGAAGTTTTCGCATTCGTAATCTTGATTCTTTCTTCGTTTGTACTTAGGGTTGTTAGTACGATCAGTAATTCGGACCGGGATTGGTTTTGCAGATGTTGTATTAGGCGAAAGATTTGCAAACTCTTCATGTACATCATTAGGATTAGGATTACATTTCCCACTATTAACGGAGCCATTTTCCAAATTAGATACATTTATTAGTGGCAAGCGATCAAGCCACTCACACGATTTCAAAACTGATGATAAATTGCTGATTGTTCATTTCCTTTGTTTGTGTGCTGTTGATGCTTCATGATATTTTGAACAGAGCCATTATGTAAAAATTGCTGTTCTTTAGTTGTTTGTGATTCTTCTAATGTGCAATTTTGTACTTCATTTGAATAGTCATTTACATTTGTAGTTTGTGATTCCATATTGTTAATATGCAACTCAGGTATCATTTGGGGGGCGGTTTTATCATTTCATGGCCAGAAATTGCGGACATGGAATATGCAGATTGCCGTAGCAAATTTGCATATCTGTTCAAATATTATTCGTTTGCAGAACTATAAATTATATTGCGCATTCTTAAATTTTGCAAAATTTAAGAAAATCATTGCATCTTTGCTATTTGCCCTGGTTGTTTCTTGTAACTCGTGTCATATTGAAGATCCTGAGGTAATATTTTGCTGGCAAAGGTTTATGTCGGCTCTGCATTTTTATTTTATTTCTACGCTATTACGGTTTTCGTTTTATATGGTATTCAACGTTATAAATGACCAAAACTTTGTTTTGAAAATGCAGGACGAATACTGATAAAACATTTTGAAATACTGTATAAAAATATTAAGATTAACTTGCTCTGCAACGAGCAATTAAGGCAAATTATAATTGACCTACCTAAAGGTGTATTTTTAGCGTTTAGTACTGTGCACATTACAGTTTACTATAAACTCACGAAGCTTTATTTTGACACCATATGCAAATTTAGGCGGAAGTAGAATGTTAAATATGTCCGAATTTTCTGGCCATGATATGACTCGAGGCAGCTGATTGTTTTAGAATTTCAATCAAGCAACTAGTATCTCCCGTATTGTTTATTTCACTGTTTTCAGTCGCTTGCTTTTGATCCTTAGAATTCAAGTATGAAATTTCATGTTGAAGAACTTGAATATCGGATTCTAATTTATGCCCCCTTTCTTTTTCGTTATCAAGCTCAATTTTAAGGCGTTTTAATTCAGACACAAAGTCGTTTATTGAGCATATCTGTGTAATATTCTCCAAGCTCTGCAAGGATTCAACCCTTGATTGTAAAATTTCAATATCCAACTTAATATTTTCAAGAACGGCCGCGCAATCGCTTGAAGGCACCTCTGTAAAGCATTGATCCGTCTGACTCCCTTGCTCTATTGTAATTCTATCGCAAACTGCCGGTTGATCCAATAAAGGAGCAGAAGTATTCTCAAGTTCTGAATTTGTCACGTTACTAGTGTGGGAGGGATGGACAGATAACACACTGTTAGGATCACTAGTGTCTTTTATAGCATCACACATGTACCTTTTGTCACAAACTTTGATTAGATCTTCTTTCAGTTTATTGCCAGTTTTTCCTTGGAATAACAAGGTGTTCTGCTTTCCACGATACCAGGTCATAGTTAAGTCCAAATCAGAACTCGTAAACTTCCGAGCGTTGCCGCCTGGTGATGTCCATTTACCTGGCATTTTGAGCATATCTTCGACGAAGTTCTCCAGTTCTTCACGGTTATGTGACCATATGATCCGCTTTCCATTATAATTAAAATACAGACTGTATTTACTTCTCAAAATATTTTCTATTTCCCACATATTCTAACTAAAATCAACGACGATAGCTTTTAAAAACTGTACAAGTCAAGTGTGTGAGGGTTATAGTTTCATAAGAGCAGGAGTTGACCATTTTTGTTTATTTTCTTTACTATTTGAGTGACTTGGGTTGAGTTGAATTCAATGACTAAATAGTTTGCAAATATTGTACTTATTTATTGCAATGTCAAAATAGTTAAACCGCAAACTGCGGCTTGACGTTAAAATTTTGCCGTCTGGGGGTGTATTTTCACGTAGCTCATTTACCTCTGCGTTTTGTCATTGCAATAGTGTCTCGACATATTGAATATCCAAATTTTCTTTGTGGTAATTTTCTAGCCTGTTTTCAATGAGTCTACTTTAAGAAAGCGGCTACCACTGTTCAATAACACGATTGGCAATATGGTGGTTTACCATATAGTATGTATTGCGGTACAGTCGAATATTAAAATGGAGGTCCTCAAAACCCAGGTGTAATTTAACAGTGAAACTGTTCGCTGCATGCCACTTTTGAATCGTTCTATCATAAGGTATAGGTATATGTGACACTTTTCAAAGAAAACAATGCTATATGCATGTCTGATGTTTGTTATGCTCCCTATTTCGGAGGCTCCTTGCTCCAAGTGTATATTAGAGAAGTTGCTATAAAAGTTGGAACAAATTTGGAACACTAACCTGTTGTTATTTTATAAAACAGCTACTTAATGGTTTCCGGTGTTTGGATGGCCTGGTCCGAACACTTGAGAATGTTGCTCGGGTTAAGAAAAGCTCGAAAAGTTTCGCGCGCTTTTCTTAACTCTCGCGACATTCCCGCGTGTTTGCACGGACCAGGCCATCCAAACACGGAAGCCATTAAGTAATTGTTAAGGCCCGTTTACACTTGCAATTTTTGCTGCGATTTTATGTGCGATTTTCCTCTTTTGATTGATGTAAACGGGTGAATTAGTTACTGAGGTTCAAATAAGAGCTCTTATATTCAAAACATTCGTAAATAATTCCTCGTTCACATCTATCGAAAGGAGAAAATCGCACATTAAATCGCAGCAAAAATCGCAAGTGTAAACGAGCCTTTATTATATATGGGTATTTGAACCATGCGAGAGTTTAAAATTTGATTTCGAAATGCCATATACTAAAATAAATTATTACTGTAGGAACTAAGCTTAACAGCTTTGCAGTATTGATGGATTGGCGCTGTTTGACTGCGATTCAACGAATTAAAATCAACATGCAAATCTTTTTGCAAACCTAAATGCATCTTAAAGATTTGTTTAATATATAATAAATGAAATACTGAAAGAAAAGAGATTTAGAGATTAAAGGGTAAAGATTTGCTAATCATTTAACGAGAATAACACAAAAAACTGGGCTGTTGTATAAAGTTGTTCCGAAAGAAAGGCATCTTGAAAAATCTTTGTCACTTCGTGTTCTGCAACTAGAAAATACTGTGAATCTTTGTTTACATAACAATAACAAATAGAATAAACCAAATAAGTGAAGTGATTGTTGTGATGTTTTGAACATCTTTCGCCAGAAAATAAAAGTGTTAAAACCCTTTCTTTGATAACTAATAACAAGAAATTGAGTGTTATGACTGTTTTTGCACCAAATGATAGAAACTTTGGCTATTTTAGTTACAATGAAAGCTTAAATTAAATACGCGCATGCGCAGAGGAAAAAGTATGACTAAGTCGACCGTTCATCATATAGAATTTGGATTTTAGATTTGGTACTGTTTCGTTACGATATGCGGATCGAAGATTACAAGTACATAGTACTTGAATAAGTTCAGTACATAGTACTTCAATAACTTCATATGCGAAGCGTTTGTTCAAGTCTGTAATTCATCGCAATAATCGCTACTCTGGTTTTTTTAACGAGAGTACTGAAAGTAAGCTTTGTGTGGTGATTACTTTCATTAACGAAACCAGAATAGCGATTATATACCTGGTTGCCGTGAACTTATTACCTTCAAGTCTGGAATTGTCATTCAGAAAAATACTTAAAAAATACAACATTGCCATTGGCGCGTTCATGGTTTGTCACATAAGGACCTTCATATCAAACACCTTGGAATACAGTCTATAATAAATACTTTATTTTCAAAGCACAGCAATAATACATTAATTATAATCATACAATTTCTTTCATACTGTACATTATATGTTATTTTAATCATGCCACAGTTACACGAATAGTTGACGCGTATTCAGTAGAAGATAAGCTAGCTAATATTGTCGACTACGTACAGAGGAATTTGAAGTGCCAATGTCAATGACACGAAAATTCACCTTAAACCTTCACCGTTGGAAGGTGAAGATCAACAAAACCGACTTAAAAACGTCTTTATAATTGGAATTTTAGTAACGTAACCATCAAATCTTGTTTCACAACATGTGGAAATATCGATCCCCTGTGCGAAATCACATCGCATAATGACATTTTGAAAACACATGGTTGAATATTTTTACAAACAAATGCAGATTCTCAGGATATGCATTGTGATGTCAGATCCCTTACACTTGCATACGAAACAAAGGTGAATATCTCGAGGAACAAACTTATACTACAATTCTATAAATGAAGTTATCGCGATAAAGTAAACAGAAAATTTCATTGCAATTTCTCTCTAAGATAGCACGTGCATTTGCTTACGACACAAAATAGACCTATCGACCAGCAATCTGTCCGGACGGAAAACGTCCTACATGGGTTCGCAGTCGACAATAGGAATTGGTTTATATGTAAGATCTATAATACACGTAAAGGAAAGGACTTTGTGAACGCAAAGTGTATAGAAAAGTTAATGACACGTGGCATGGAATTGTAGGGTATTGCAGGACGTATAACAAGATCACTCCCTACCCCAAACGACACACGATATCATATGCTGCATTCTAACTATACACGTTCATTGTCATATACAATTAAAATTTCGTTTTTCTATTAAAAGGACCTTCGCCTAAGGTTGCATGGGTTGCTTTTTATTCAAGTACCATTCGTTTCGTTGAGGTTTAGCAATCTCTCGACTGGATAAAACTTGTTTTTATTCCACGACTATAGGTAACGTTTAACCAAGTCACAGGGCCGCACGAAATCTCATAATTCTTTCGACTGTTTGGAATTCTTTGGTATTTTGTAAGTTTTGTATAAGTGATACAGGTCTGGTTTGCAAAAGTCCCATCAAATCCTACAGGCGGAACTGGATATAGTCCAAATCTTTTGATTGGTGTAGCTCTTTATGTAATTGGACACAGTTCAGGAAATGGACAGACTTTTGCGTAAGGTATAAAACTGAAAAACTTGGGCGGCTGTAGTTTTTAAAGTCTCATGGAATCTCTGAAATCTGATTACGTCTCGACAGCAGAAAGAACTAGATGAAATTTCGATGCGGCTCTGTGGGGGATTTGACCAAATATATCTAGATTAAAATGTGTACAGTTTTAACTCTGCACGCTTTGTTCTGTTTAAAATATCCTCTGCATTTCTTTGGCATCACTCGCATGCGAGCTTGCCGTCAAAACTGCTGAGCGCAACCGCGAAGGCTTGTACGGCAGACATCGGATAGTTGTAATCCATCGTGAAGATGTCTTCCGCTACTCGACCAAATTGCATGACGATATACTCGGCTAGAGGTGAAACATACATTAGACTTTCAATATGGACGAAGTATACATATATACCGGGTTAACATGCATATAAACAGTAGCTATATACATTTGAAGATTGTTATAGAAATAAGAATTGTTTGTGAGTTTTAGGCGACTAAAAAACAAAGGAAATCTCAAAATGACGAGATTTAAACAGAGGAGCTACGTGGTTCTTTCCTTTCTTATAAGTTAAAAGGAAACAGTGTTGAACATTTTATGCGGTTGTCGCTATTTTTCATTTGAATAAACAGCAAGTATACGCTATCAACAGCACAGTCCTAATATGGCCGCCAATGGTCTTATTTACACACAGTGCGTATAGATTCCTAAACGTGCAACATTGGGTCACACAGCTCATAAAAGATAATCGTTGAATCCATAACCTCGTTATGTGTGATTCAACAATGCGCCAGCAATTGAACCGATCAGTAGTACATTTTGAGCCTGCGATCAGTTTATATTTTAAAATTGGTTTATACTCCTAAACTTATTATTTTGAAAATTGATTTATATTTTAGTAAGTATTTTTGTCCACTGAGGAGCACCATACAATTCATCCACAATTTGAGAACACCAAAAAAATTAAAGGGTTTCCAAAATATTACGTTTCTTGAATATCACATTTTAACCCCTCAAAAACCTTTATTATAATAGTAAGAATTAATGCTCTTGGACACCAAACCGCTCTAACCCGCACCCCGCTAACAATAACTGTTGTTACCAGGGCGCTTATATATATAAGCGCCCTGGTTGTTACCAGATTTGGTAGAGCGCGCGGGTCTGCATATCAAAACATTCTGAAAGCAAGTTGTTAAACAGCAATTTCACATCAGCAGTAGACTCCAGGCGCCGGTTGCTCAAAGCTAGGTTAGCGCTAACCCTGGGTTAAATTTTAATCCGCTCTTTTAATTACGTCTGCACCCCCGCTTGTTTCAAAACTTTACAAATATGATTTCTATTAAACCAGAAAATACTCATGGTTGAAATATTCAAGTTTTATGGACAAGCGATAAAAAATTGATATAAAAAATTGCGTTAACCTTGGGTTAAGTTAACCAGCTTTCGAACAACCGGCCCCAGGTATAAGCTATTCCGAGAAAAATGTGTCTACTTACGATCGTTTTCGTGAATGACTTGAAAGTTCTTGACCGACGCCTGGGTGACGCGACCATGGAAATTAAGTACATATGACTGCGTATCTGATGAGACAAGACAGAGGTATTATATTCAATCAAATAGTCTATATAATTTTACGATGTCTAAGTTATTAGGATGAAAAGGAAAACATCGGCTTCATATTGTTATCGTATTGAATACTAGGAGTAATTGTACTAGAAGTAAACTTAAATTTCTACTCTACATGGTATGTGTACGTTTCTGCAATCACAGTTAGGGTTAGTTAATGAAATGATTTAGAGAAAGCAATACTAGTTGAATTTACTCACTGTTTTAATTACCTAGACAATTTCGGGAAAATTTTTCGAAACTATATATTTCCCTAAGCAAAATCTTAAATGTCAACCCAGGAGCTAGCCATTTATGGCAACAAGTGTTAACAGATCAGGTCAACAAAGACTGCTCTGCCCTGCGAACTCAGGTCCCAATATATATTTCTGTATAAAAATGTGTTTAAGTTGGCGTACCATCATTCCATACGGGCGTTTTGTTATGTAACTCCAGTAAATTATCAAGCATCCGTCGACGATGTCGTTCCAAAATCGTTTCGCTCTCCTGTTAAATTTGAAAAAAGAACTTTTCAGCAAAACCCGAATCGTAAAGTCACGAAAATATTTCCAGGCCCTTTTTTCGTCCCCTACGCTTTAAATATTCTACGACAAGTTTACATCCAAACGAAAGTGGCTGATGTGCATTATATATTTCTCCTCAGGTTTAACAAAATGGATATAAATTCACGCCTGGGGCCAGTTTCACTTTCCAAAGTTAAATCCTAGTTAACTCAGAAATACAAAACTGTGGTTGACCAATTCTGTCCTTAACTACAGTTGAAAGTTAACTAGTCTTATAGCTATATACTGGGGCCTGGTGGCAGGATATCGAACCTCATTCACCTCAAAAGACATGGTGAAATCATGAAGATTAAACAAATATGTGACATGGTAATCCTTCCTACCATTTTAGGTTGAACCGGTATTCTTTTATAGTCGACGCCCATACTTGGTATGATTATGGTCATCTTTCTGGGACCTTTAAAACCTAACACGTTTGTATCCTGCAATAAAGGGTCGATAAATCAATTACGGTGGAAGTAGAGAAAAAAATTTCTGCGAACCCCGCCAAAAATTGGGAACTACTGAATGTAGCTAGAGTCTATTAATATCCCACTATCCAACTGAGGCTATCATGGGACGGTAAATGTATGGGTTAATAATTATGATTTTTCTATGTATGAGTGTCCTTGTATCTGACCACCCGTAACTTAACAGCTCGTTCACATCTATCAATGAAAGGTAACGTCTGCACAAATCTTACATATACTATTCCTCCTAATTCTTCGCGAATGTTTGAGCCATCCGCCATCACGCCTCCTTTCTTCGGATTCACCCCTTCATTATATATCGTAAATCTCGTGCCAACTAGATTCGACCTAAAGGAATGAACAACACATGAACTTTGCCGCCATTGCGTTGACAAAAGGGAGCTTCAGCCATCTATGGCTTCAGCAGTGACCACGAGTACCAGATTCCTCATCCTCGCGCGTTGTTTGCTTACGCCATCAGCCAAAACTCGTAGTCGTCGAGCTTTCGAGTACGAAATTTATCAACAAACTCGTACTCAAAAGCTCAGCGACTACGAGTTTTGGCTAATGGCGTAAGGAAACAACGCGGGAGAATGACGAATCTAGTATTCGTGGTTACTGCTGATGCTCCCTAATATCCAACTCCATGTTGACAAATTACAACAAGATTGATAATCTCGCAGACTTATTACACAAGTTGTTTATTTTAGCACAAAAAAATTCCACTTGCCTCAATTTTCCGACGTAACTTTCACCTTTTCTAGACAAGTCTGTGGGATCCGTGGATATCAAATAGTTCGAAGTCGTACTCTTTTTTCGTTTTCGACCGGCGAGGAGAAATATCTACAGGAAAAGGCATTTTAAGTCAACCAATTCGGATGGCTCCACTGACCTATTCTAGAATAGGCCAGTGGTTGGGTCTGAGCACTGATTTGGTGATACACTGGATAGTACAAAAGTTCAGGCGGAAGTTAACTGCAAAGTTTCAAATTAGTTTAGAGACACAACCGGCTCCAAATGAGTTTAGAGACACAACATTCCGATGAAATAGCCTTCCCCGAAATATCCAGCTAAATCTGGATTCATTTCCACGTTCAAGCGTGAAAGCAGCACTACCTTTTTTCCATCATCCTTTTCCATATGTAGGAAATAGGTAGGGTACATATTTCGATCCATGCCCTTCTTATCCCGAGATATCCTACATTTCACCGTCGTTCCTTTAGGCGCGGGCCTGTAAACAAAGAAGTTGGAGTCTTAAATTATAACACACAACCAACAGGACAGGATATTTTTCCGTGTGGCAATGAAAAATACAAGCTCGCGAAGCGCGAAAGGACTTTGAGGTATCGAAATGAGTGTGTTGTAACTATGACGGCAAAAGCATGTGTTTGTTTGGTTTCTTAAAGCCCTGTTACACGGTGCAATTTTTTATGTAACTTGTAATGCAATTCTACTTTGAGAGATGTAAATTTGCATGTCCACGTCTGTTGGGTCAGCATAACATAGTGACAGATATGAAGATTTAACGCAAATTTGAACAACCAAAAGACACGCTAAATGTTGATAAACTCAATTCGATAACTTTTAAAAACTTTATCATCAAACGTGCTCTATTTAAATGTAAACAAGGTACCCGTCAACGAAGAGATCAAGATCTTCAAAATCTAAGTTGCCTCCACCATTAACCTCGAGTTCCTGCAAAAAATACAAAGTCCTTGTTCAAAAACACTCTGGTTAAAAAGTTAGATTAATTCACGAGAAATGGGTGAATTAACAACACCATTTGCTTGTTAATTGTTGGGTTGAGCGAATTATCAATAAATATGGTCGGTCGAATGAAGAAAGCTATAAAATTGGTCGGTCAATAACCGGCCATTGTCGGTTGAACGGCCATTGTTTTGCCTCTCACTGGAATGTGTTGGTTAGGCCACTAACCCAGTTTCTGGTGAACATAAACTAGGGCTTTTTTAGTACGATAATAAATAAAACCCAATTCTTTGATAGGGATCCAAGGTTTTTTTAGTACAGCAAGCCTGCGTGAAGGCAATTTCTACAATTTTATATATTTGGCCAACTTGACATGGAAAGGCATACCGGAGTCTCGTCAGCCTTTTCGCCCGGTTCGTTGCTGTTTTGTGACGATGGGACGCGAGAGATTTTGCTCGTAATGGGCGCAATTGCTGGTAACGTTTCCTCTTCGAGTTCGTCATCGTCGTCATGGTGTTCGTTCGGCGCGTAATCTGCACTCGAGTTCAGTCCCATCGCGGCCAGCTTCTTCTCAGTGTCCGTCGTTACCTCCTGTATCAAAATTCGACAATGCATTTCAGTGGGCAACAATATTGTAATTAGAAATGGCGGAAATCTCGAAATGCCACTAATGCAAAACTTGCCAAAGCTTTTTGAAGTCGGGCAAAGCTAAAAATAGCAATCTTAAGCCTTGGGCCATTCTAAACTTAAGCCAGACTACAATGAAATGCCTGAAATAACAACTAAGTCAATGCTGACATGTTTTGCGTTGCATATACTGGTAAGAATGCATAAAAAATCAATGTCGGCGTGTCAAAAGGTGGGCTGTAGAGCTAACACACAAGAGACAGATTTTCGTATCCTTTTGAGGGGTGCAAAAAATACTAGAGGGTGGTAATCACTTAAACATTTGAGTCCCCGCCTCCACAGAAGATCTGTCTCTGGCCAGGACACAATTCAGTGATGTTAATATTACAATACATACCCTTTTGGGAGGCTCATCTGGGCCCACATTAACCAACAGTCCCACTTCGGGATCTTGTCTCCTTGGCACTATGGTTATTCGACCATCATTGGCAGCTAGGATGGTAGGGAATTGGTGCATGTTAAATTAAACATCATTGTTATGTTTATCATTTTCATATGTATTCACAAACACATAAGTGTTATTTGTTTAAAGTTATTTGTTTAAAGTCCTCCACTACAGTTCTGTTTCATCCATATTGGAGTCATCAGGTGAAAAATATATATTTTGTATATATAAATTATATATATAATTCTCTTTTAATAGCAAATAGTACATGTGTTAACACAATATGTACAAAAAATTTCCTGAATGAATCAGTATTTTGGATTAATTCAGAGCAACGGTTTACAGGAGGTTATGATCTGTACTATGACTTTATTAATAAATGCATGTTTAAAAGATTTAAAACATTGATGGTAGTTTAAAGAAACAAAATGAGTATAACAACTAACCACCAGGATAGCTAGTTCCACCAATGCCACTTGATACCATGCTTCTATCACCAGCTGTTCCAGGCCGACCAGAACCTGGACGCATCATGTCATTGGGTTTCATAACTCCTGAAAATGAAACAAAAGTCTTTATTGTGAAAACATTGACAAAATTCTAAATTCTTATTTTGTTTTAGGTATTGCTAATATTGGTCAAGTAACGAATTCATGGCCAGTAGCTGTGTAGGCAGCATGACAAATTAGTCCTGGTATGCTAATATTTTGTTGCATTTAATAAATTTCTACAAAAATTAATAACTATAATGACTATAGCGGGACTAAATCATCAGGTTTGCTATGCACATGTGCATGGCTATAAATGATCATATCGGACATATATAATTCACACTTGTCACCAACATTGTACAATATTTTGTCAAAACTGATCCATTTTCAACAATATTGTTCAATAATTTTCACAAATAATTGTTCAATGGTATTCACAATGAGAACACAACCAGAAGCACAACATTGCTTTATGCTGTTGAACCACAAGCTGAGAGTTTTGCAAAGTCTTCAATTACTAAAAAAATTACCAAATTGTGCTCTTTTCTGTTGTTGTCGTTTTTCAATCAGTGCTTTCTACACAACAAAAATTAAGTATGTATAATAAAAAAATTATAGAATTTAACAAAACGTTATCCTATGTTTATGAGAAAGTTAGCAGAAAATTGAAACATCATTCATGTAGCTACAGAAGGTTAGGGTTTCTGCATCTTAGACACAACTAGTCTGACTTGTAATTCATATACAATACAAATTGAATAAACAAGAGATTCTAAATTCTAATATGTCTACAATGTTCAATTTTTTGTGTCTGGAGTAAGAGTTACATAACACCTTGAATAATGCTGACCTGTTGTGCTAACTTTGTTTGACGGGTGCTGTTTGGACTAGTTGCTCGAATATCATCCTCAAACACACTGTAAGACAAGACATTTATTATAAAGTCAATAAAACCACAAAAACATGAACAGTATTTTGCATAGACAAGTGCAAGAAAATGTTCTCAGTGCAGCTTCGAGATTCAGCCTGCTGAATGCTAAAATGTAGGTCTTGAAAAAGGTATAGTTCTAGATCCTAGATTTTTGTAATATAAATTTATGGTTACTAATTTATTCATAGTTGGAATCAAAGTTGCATAAGATATGTTCCAATAGCCAGCGATATGTCAGTTGCCAATTGTTTTGAAAAATCTACAAATCAATATCGTAATATAATTTCCAGGACAATTAAGGAAATTGTTTGTAATAGAACATCTGGTTTGACAATGAAGACTTGGTGTGATTGGTTACATTATATTCTGCTTGTAACCAAATATATCAGGAAATTAAAAAAAAAATTCTCGTCGGGGCATATATTAGCAAAGGCCAATTTTTATCAGAATAATGAATATTGTTAACACCAAAAGAGGCCATTAGGTTTGATATGAACTGGCATATGAACACTGAGATCATTGAACCAACATAGGCAACCTTTGCAGCTGTTACTAGATTCAGTCCTGCTAAGATTGTACCTCAAATTGTGTTCATTTTATAAATAGTTTCTTTAGAAAGTTTCACCTATCACTACAAAGGTTAATCCTTTTTCAAAAGATGACTTGGCAAATGGCTTGTCTACACACAGGAATTGAGGAAAATAACAGAACCACTTATGAATGTAGAATAAGAGAACAGGTGCTGCAGAGAGGCGTCTCGGGAAATGCTTCTCTGTCACTTTATGTTTACTCTATAGTTACAATGTTAAATGTTTTGAACATCATATCTGATATTTCGATGAAAACCAAGGGCACTCAAAACACCCTTACACATTGACTGTTATTACATATTTATAATATGACAGAGATAACAAAGAGGCGTTTAAAAGCCACATTAGAGCCATATGGGTCGGTGTCAAATCATATTCTGAGCAAATTATAAATGTTCGCAGTGCCATAAATTTAAAGGCGAGAAATCATTCCTGCGGCTAGATGATAGGACTTTCTATATTAAAGGTATCATTTCTTATCAACCCAGGATGTGCTCCAAATAGTGACGATATTGGGTTTGATTTCAATTCAAAAACAAAAACGATTTCCTCTTTCTTTTAAAGTGGTTTCCATCAAGTTGTCACAGCAACAGTACACTGAACCGAAGTTCAGTCAAAGAGGAAAATCGACCATTTCTATTCGGAAAGCAAGATCTTTTACCAAACGACGGTTTCCAGGGCGAATCTATACAGCTTGTTAAATGTTTACAAAGATCGATAGAAATCATAAAGCAGGACGGCGCTCCATAAACAACGAAGTGATCTGACGCCATCAAAATGTGTTTACAAAATTTCAACATTTAAACGCGAGCGATCCGGTTCGACGACAAATGTTTGGCGGATTTGTAGTGATAATAATAACAATAAAAATTCGGTTAAATAAATAAGGAGTGGGTTGTTGGAACATACCTTCCTGGAGGCCCTGCAGTTTGCCAACTGTTGGCAGGTGAGCTACAAGCAAGATGAAAAATACGCGAAATGTTACTCTGGCTTTGCCGCTTCGGATCGCACCGAAACGGCGTTAAAATGAAACCGAAAGACGGCTAAGGCCTTTATCAAAATCTTACCCAGCTTCTTGCGAATAGTAGGACATTATCTCACATCAAAATTCCCCGCTATATTGGTTATTCCAACCGCAAACATGCACTTGCTGCATGAAAAGTCTTGCAATTTTTTAATAGAAACGGGAAACGGAAACAATGTTTATACGCGCTTGTGATTGGTCGACGCCTTCGTCATGTGACGCCAGATTTCAGGATGATGCTCGTTGCAAAGTCGGACGTCTTCGGCAAACCTACGCGGATGGCGCGGGAAATTTTCTCACGCGCGAAATTGCATACATGTGTAAATAGATTTGCAACTTTGTGGAAGTTGTGGACTTTTAAAAGATCGCATACGATTATACAGCAAAAAATGCCATCAAATGTTGAAATCAAAGCCACGATTCGAGATTACGACCAGTTCCGGTCTCTTGCCGAAACTATAAGCGGACAAAAAGGTTGTATTACAGTTCTTGAATATTGGGTTCCACTGTATATTTTGCTGATCATAGCTAGGGCAAGGTTAACGTGATGGAGAATGGTTGGGTATGGCTTAAGGTGAAATTTTGGGTTGTAAACTTTGGGTCCTTAAGATCCTTGGTTAGGGTACAGGTTGCAACCAAGATCTTTGATGGTCTATTATTGTCATATTTTTCTTCCTAAATACTGCACCTCCTTCACTCCCCTTGATCAAAAATAGGATGTCTGGCCTGGACCAGGTCTAGGACAAGTCTAGGTAATATCTGCCAAGTGCACACTGTCTTTCTTGTTGATGATATCGGATAGCCAACATAATTGGATAGCCATCAGGGGTCGGCTCTCAATTGGGAACATGTTCCTGTTACCGTCTCCTGTCACAGGTGTAATTTTTTCTGTGTATAATGTTTGTAATGTGACAAATTAATTAAATTAATTAAAATAAATTAATTGCTCCAGGTTATGTCCAGGCCACCTTTTTCTGTTAGCCTGGATTTTGTGGCCTAGACCTGGTCTAGGCCTAGTCTAGGGCAGATAAACAATGTTCACACCTAGGTCTAAGCCTGCTCAAACCACATACTGATAGTGTAAATGCTGCTTTACTTCTATATGCAGCTGGCTAATTAACACACCTTTTGGATTTTTGTTACTAATATATGTTATCCATGGATTCTGGTCTTACCTGATTTTATCTGGAATAGCATGATTGCTCATAACATTGACATTGTCAATGAAGAAAAATGTGTTGACATAGTATTTTACTCTTCAGTATTTTACTCCCCAATTCCAGATGGTTAGTAATTACACATGCCAGTCTTATGGGTTAAACTGCCATGACTATTTCATTAGCAACAAAACTTCATCATTTAAAGTTTTAGATCTTTTTGTCCATGTTAATTGTAATCCTATATTTATTTTATAACTATTAGGTGAACTAATTGTCCAAGAAGACATATTTTTTCATGCACCTAATGGCAGATTAAAGGTTGGTCATTACATTTATTAATATATATTCTCAATCAGTATGGAGCCACAGGGTCTATCTCTGGAGTCAACTTGATTCCATGCCTGCAGCAGGTGCAGTGGCATGAGTCATATTTTTTGTAACTGCCCTGGAGTTCAAATTTTATGTATAATTGCCCTTGATACTTATCTACAAACGTCTAATTTTTATCAAAGGACTGTAAACGTAACAGTGTCCTCAGAATCGACTGTATAAAGATTTATGGTATACTACATTTTTAAAACCACAGGTTCTATTCCATATAAGTCAGGAGCTAATGGGATCAAAAAAAAATAATCGTGTGAACGGACCTTATGCTAGGTTTTCATCAGACACAAGCTTTAGGTGATCAAATCGACTTGATTGCAAACATGACAACGCAGGATGAATTTTCTTTTGAAATATATTTTGTTTCATCTTCGCGCTTCTATATGATCCTCGTGTGCATTTCACGACTCAAATGCCCTAGATCTTGGCTCAAATTTAAGTTCCGTCATTTCTTTTACGATCCTAATTTCAGCTGCGAATTTTGCAAGACCGCCCTTCTGAGTTGATATCCTACTCCAGATCGGATCAGAGTGGGCCGAAGCTCTCTGAATTTTACATAACAGAGATTCCTAAACCAGAGGATTTGAAGAAAACGCTAGGAACGTCTCTTGGTGTAAAAGGTAAGAGCCGCGATTTAGCATCGAGATTTTATTTTCTTCTAAGTGGACGTCCATTCAAGTTAAGAACTTCCGTGGCGTCGACTCTCCCCCTCCGTCGTTAACCCCAGTTTGCCCTTATTCATGGTCTACCAAAGGTGGGTGACTGGGTGTTACTCACGTTGAAGATAACAAAAACATATCATTTTAATTTGGCGGCGAAAGTTCTGTTTATACTGGTAGATAACAACGATGTCTTTTTAAGTAGTTTATCTGGCTTCGCGCGTTTATTGGAGTCGTTTCGTTTTTAAGATAAATAATGTATCATGCAGATCAGCTGTATAACCGATTATGAGGAGAAATTCACTGAAAAGCTATAGCGTTTACATTCCACAATTCCTATAACGGAATCATATCAAAGGTTATTGCCGACATTGCCAATCATCTCATTTTCAAAAGACACGCTCCAACATAAAGTCGAAAATTTACAGTCTCCACCTGTGTCTTGCTTGATTCATATTTTGACTCTCAAGATGCCTTGTTCCGTCGGAATTTGTTTTTTACTTTACTTTTTTAAATTGTCGGCTGGTCATGTTTTTTTTATATGGATTATCACGTATTGCATGGACCATGGTATGCACTTTATGAATGCATATGCATTAATGGGCGATCTTTGTCAGTGATTTTCTCTTTTTAGTGTATGTTATGAGTGAGAAACGCCCATGTATACACTTATATATAACGTATAGACTTACGAAATGAAATTTATATATACTATACGCTACACGGCAGATGTGGCGGTGATGAATCGTGATCTTCTATATATATATAATATAGGGATTAATAAAAAATCTATGAATTTTAAACACTTCCTATATTTATTCGTCCATCTGCCGGTTTCACAACCGAAGTGCATATATGGCTATAGTATAGACCTTATTTAGATATAGGCGTAAGATATATCTGTGAATTGTATTAATTAATCGGCAAATATAGCGATATATTTTTTAACGATATTACTTTATTAAAACGCGATTCTTGCGAGCCTGTCTTGAATGAAATAAAGATATAGGAAAATCAGATGAAGTCTTCGTAGCCATGAAATTGACATGACATCTCAGAATAGTGAGTTTGGGAAATACAACGGCAACGCCAATCGCAACGTGCTCATCAACAATGCACGTGGCATTGGTCCTTAAAGACAAAAGAAAATGTAAATTACGTGGCTTTTAACGTTGCACATCGCCGTATTTGCTGAAACGACATCGTGATTTCCACCAATTTCACGGTGCATGGCCGCGCGCCAACAGTTAATGTGTTCGATGTTGTTCGAGGTTTTTAAGGTGATTTTATTAATCGGCCATATTTGTAATAGTTAATAACTGTTTGAGAGAAAGAGAAAACTTGAAGAGGCGAATCAATTCAATACTTACTCGAATTTCCCTTGAATACCACAATATTAGGTGAATATATATATATTTTGCCGTTGCAGTTGCCGTTGCCGTTGAACTTCCCAAACTCACTATGAGGGTGGAAACGCGGGAATGATAAAACACGCGCATGCATGTTCATAATTCCTCTTCTAACCCGGTATGATAAGAAAAAAAAAGTGCCAGGTAAATCGCTTCCTCAGAGACTCTCCGGAACCACTTGAAATCTCTTGCATGAAAGCTGCGATAATTCATATTATGCTTGAGTTGTATATACTACTTCTAATACAGAATTGCCGATGATGCAAGTCAATGATTCAGAAGTTTATTTTTCGAGATTATTTTGCCTGCCTTGTATATCTATATATATTATTATAGAGTTGTCTCAAGAAACAAATATTTATAGTATAATAACAGTCTTATTGAATTTGATCATTTGATCCGGCTTCATGATATGAAAGAGCAGTTTTTTAGCTTTGCATGCAGCGGTTTTTTTAGATACACAAAAAAAGATCGCGAATGCCTGAAAAATGAAATAAAAATTAAGTAGCGATTGAAATGAAATCCGCCCAATTGAACGCATGCAAAACAAAGGATAAATATATGAGCTTGAAGCAAGTATATAGGCACCTTCATTCCATTTCCGACGAGAAAAACGTGCATGCATGCATTGTTTCGACTGCCATGCAGGCTTCTATTATATAATTACGACATAAATTTGACCATATATTGTTGCTATTAAAATATATAGAAAGCTATATACCTATATATATGTTGTATATAATGACTTCTCTTTCTTGCTATGTCCCTATGTTGGCTTTTGTCGGGCTAAGAATTAAATCGGTACATATATATAGCTATCCTGTCAATATTATGAATTACGGCATGCATGCATATAAATGCGAAAAATTTTTGCTGCGGCCTATAGAATCAGGGATTTCTTACATGTACTTACATGCGACCTTGTTATTCACGTTCCAGATTTTAAACTGCTTGAAATAATTATATATTTCTATTTCCAAATTATTTCTATTATTCCGGTATATGCCTATATGGTGCATGTTATCCCATACAGGATAGGTGCATATATATACATGCATGCATATATATCAAACCCTTCCATGCAATTATGGTGGGATTTGGGCGGCCATGTCCTTTGACATTGTCGAGCGAAAAATAGTTGTATATATATGCATGATGCATGAACCTGCGTAGCGTGAACCTGCATAGCTAATAGATGTTTGATTTAAAGTACTTTTAAAAGTTTATATATATATATATATATATTTAGATATAAAGCTTACTTTTATAAAGCCTACTATATAAATTATATAATTAGATATAAAGCTTACTTTTCGTCGCTGTCTTGCAACAGTTTTGATAGAAGATTATAAGTGTGGCTCATCATGTAGAAAACGAGGTTTTCTTGTCGATATTGCCGAGACCGAGCAGCATTTGATGTTTCAAAAGGTTATAGAAATATCAAATTGTTTAATGAAGTGAGTGCCGTGCATGCATGAAACAGGTGTTGTTTATGCATATATGTATAGATTGAATGCGTTAGTTTTAATGGGGCGGCTTGCATCAGGAAGAAAAGGCGTGTATAATTTTACTCTTGATCAAACAGATCGAAGTGTTTTTTTCTTTTGGCCAAACAGAATTTTGATGTCTCTCTGATTTGCTTCCATTCCTTTCTTTTCCATATATATGCATGCATGAAGGCGGACATACATGCATGTTGCACCCAGCATGTGCCAGTTTCAAATTTACGATACGATATAGATCTATACGTGGTTTTCCCCAATGAAGGTGGAGAGAGATGAGTGGTCCTCCCCATGCAGATTAGAATATTATAATATATATATCGCTATATATATTCTGCATGAGATTCAACCAACTCGATGTGCATGAAATGACTTCCTTCAGGAACTTTTTGGTTTAAACATTTTTTGTATGCTTATCGCCATCATTGATATACAGTATACCGGCCGTGCAGTATCTCTTATCACACCTGATATTTCTGTGTTCAGATTTTCTTGGCCTTGGAGGATTTAGTAAACAAGTCATTTTGACAGTCATGCAAAATGTATGCACATGCACGCATGCGCAGGTGGCTTCAAAATATACTTTGGATGTATCGATAAGTAAAAAATACGGCATTTCACTATATATGCTTTAAGGAATGAGCTAAAACTCTTGCACAATGCTTTGAAACATGCATAAACGGCATGAAATGCTGCCTCGGGCATGCATGTGCTAGAGGCAAGACGCATGTACACGGTTGGAAAATTAAGGCAGTACGAGCAATGCTTAAAGTTACAGCATGTCGTCTATACAGCATGTAAACATAAACATTTTGTAAGTCATGTCGATTTCAAAATTCGCTTCTTCAATCACCGTTGTAAAATATTGTTTCAAAATAAACTCTTTGAAATTAAGACTGTGAGTGGGCTGCGCTGTAGCTACTTGTACCTGCACCTCCGCAATGCGTGGGGTTCAATTGTTTTGTGCAATTATATGCACAGTTGTTTGCGTTGTTGATTAAGGTGACTGTATATGTGTTGTTCTCGAAATTAACGGGTTTTCTTAACGATAGTAACGTCTAATAAGGGTTGATGCGTGCTTATTGAATTGCATGTATGTGGAGAATATATAGTCCAGAAGAGAGTTCCTCACCAAGAAATATATATATATAACAAAAGTCTATAATGAATGCATGCTGATTTTTTATTAAGATGTCCAAATTACAATTTCCTTCCTTTACCATACACCGTAATGAAATAATGATGCCGCAGGCCGCTCTCAAAGTCAAAGATCAAAGTAGCATTTAATATTCACGCTTTTAGTGATATTCGTCTTGTAATTAACAGCGTATCTTCAATGATTACATAAATCACACATTTCTAAATAACATCCATTTGTCTCGAATTTAAAAGCATTCAATTGCTTTTCTTCTTCCCGCCTGGCAGGTGTTGTCAAGAAGGAGAGGTTACTATTCCTTGTGGGGCAGACCAGGATACACTTGGACAAGGTGGAGAGTTTAGGATGCTTCATGGAATTAGAGGTACACAGCTCTTCCGGGTGTTGATCGATTAAAATGGCATTTCAATTATTTTTGGCACTTTTTAGATCCTATAGCTGTTCATATGGGCAAAAGTTTCCAACAAATTAAAACTTGTTTTGTTTTATAACTTTACTCGAAACTCCGGCATTCTCCCGAAAATTGGGTAAAGTTTCGACCGGAGGGCCTTCGTCAGGAGAGTTAGTATGACTCAATCAGGGCTAAGTTAAAGAGCTTTATACAAACGGCACCAGACAGAAGATCACCCCGAAAAGTTTCCCCAGGAAAATTAAGTTCATCTGAAGAGAATATTCTCCCGCTTGCCGAAATCCCGCCTTTTACACTTCATGCATGTTATTAGTTAATAAGGCGCGAGATCTCGCTTGCAAATTTGCCGAAAATTTCCCTCGCTAACCGGGAAAACGTTTGCCATGCATATGAACGCGGCCTTAAAGGATCAATGTATTCTTTTTCTCAGGTTGTTTTGCGCGAAAACCAAACAACGAATGAAGGATCAGAAGTAGCAAGCGATTTAATGAAGAAATTAAACATTAACGAGGACGATTTGATTACATGTGCTTATATAGATCTGCTTTGTGGGCGGAAAAAATAGTTCTTTTTATGGTGGTCTATATTTTCTATTCAATTTAATTATATTTGTTTTTAACGAACAACGGTTAACGTTTTAGTTTTATACGTTTTATGTCCCGGGGATATATACGTTAAAGTGCCTATATCACTTGTGGGATCTTTACGGATTTGAATAGAGCTTGAAAAATTAGTTTATAAGTTCTACAACCTTTTTTTATATAATTAAATAGTTTCGAAAATACGTCGGTTGCGGGGACTGGAACTCAGGAATGATTTGCAAACACGCCGTCTTTTGTAATGTAAACATGAAAAGTTTCACTGGCGATATAGTTTGCGCTTTTCAAGAAAAAAATGCGGGAACGGTGCGTTGTGTATGGCTGCAGCAACTGGGCGAGTTTTTCTCAAAATATTTTACGTTATTGGAAGATCGAGGTAAATTACAATTGATTTTATTATGTTTGACAAGAACTCGGTTCCTGAGTTCCAGGCCCCCGAGCACGACGGAAATTTAGGCAAATCGTCATGTTTAGATGTAAATATTTCCGAAACTATTTAACTATATCAAAAAGGGTTGTAGAACTTATAAACTAATTTTTCAAGCTCTATTCAAATCCGTAAAGACCCTACAAGTGATATAGGCACTTTAATCAATTCAGCAAATCTTCAAAATGTTGTACTTCGTGAGACACGGCAATAAAATCACACATTTTTGTAAAGATATTTTCCAATCGAAATATCCGCCGTCTTGCATGGGTGTGCATATGATTGTATTTGTGTAATAAAGTTGAACACCCCCGTCAAATACGATTGATTACATTACAAAATACAAATACGAGAAAGGGCCAGATAAGTGGAAAGGGTTGGTTTCATAAAGAATAACAAAAGTTATAATCGATTAGATGCTGCAGAAAGGATCTTTTTTACCCTTTTGATTGCTGATTATTTAAATTTTGAGCGCGAAATCACTTAGGAGCTAATTTCAGCAGAACTCGTTTGTTGGCTCTCAAAAAACGTTGTTTTGATTTGCACCTATAAGCTAAAATGGCGGAAGGCAACGTCGCCCAAGCTTGGATAAGACTGGAACGCTCACTCTGTCGGAATTTTGAAGTCAAGATGGCGGACACTGAAACCTTCTTGTATAGGTATGATCCAGGCCTCCACGCGAAAATTTCGTAGGTGAAATGGCGGCAATTTTTTTTCTCCTTTGAAATTTTTGCGCCAGAGGCCTGGATCATACCTACAAGAAAGGCTTCATGATCCGCCATCTTGGCTTCACTCATTAATGAGGGAAAGTCAGAGAGTGGCCGCTCTAGTCTTATTTGAGTTCACTGAAGAGGACCGAATATTTGCGAGAAACCGATAGTTGATATATAAACCATAGCAGCCCAAAAATGAATGTTATTTATTAGTATAATCGCGTTTTCGTTCTCGTGGCGCTCGCGTGTGTTACACGAGTCTATATATACAAATAGAGGAACTTTGCAGAGTATAGTTTTGCCCAAGTTCATTGATCCAGTTGGATGATCAGCGTGCATGACCCTTGTATAAATAAAGCCTATGGTTTCTGTGTCACATTTCTTGCTCTATTCAAATGAAAACATTATTTCAAGAAATAATTCTCGTGATAACTTGTCTGTAATAAACTCTTTAATAAAGGGTAATTGTTTTGCCAAATTCATTTGAATATACGCTCCATGGTCTTGGCATGTTCAGACGAACAGGTTGTAGATTTGAAAACAAAGATAATTTTTTTTGTCCCGGCTTTAAATTTATGTTTATGCGACAACATTCCTTTGAAAAAATGGTTTTCTTGAATCTACTGGTAATATATATACTGGAATAAGAAAATCAGTTTTAAAACTGTGTGAAATTAGAAAAATTGACATTTGAGAAGACATGTCAAAAATGTTTCCATGTGAGCCTGCATATAGACAGGTCACCATGGACGGAAGTCGCGTGTTTCGACCTGCTCTGACGCACTGAACCGTAACGTTTTACACCGGTTGCAAAGACTAAGCACTCTAAGGACTTTTGAACTTATATATAATTATAGGAAGATCATTCGAAATCGGCAGTGAGATTGGGTGTACACTTAAAGTATTGTAAGTCTACTTAAAAGTGTGACTTTGTTTCATTTTGTATTTTCATGTGCACTGCCGTCATTTCATAGTTAATTTGTTACAAAACTGTTTCTAAGAGTTTGTTTCATATATGCAGTTGCGTGAAGGAAATTGTATATGTGTGCATAAACAATGGCAGATCAATAATTCAAACGGCTATATTTTTTTCCATTTTCTTACATTCTGTAGAAATCTTTATACGATGTATTCAAGATTTGGAGTGGTATTTCTTCTTATATTCACAGGTTGGTAAATAAGATTTGTTCCTATAAATGTGATAGGTCATAATAAGCGCGCGAATATATATAAATATTTTTACTATATTGAGTGGACGCGTAAATTTAGCGAACGTGGCAATTGTGCTAATTCAATGGTTGTCTTTCTCTGCATGCCAGTGATGTATATTTTATGTGTCGTATATATGGCTTTATTGCTTTATAACCCCTACTCCCTCCATCATAACTATATATATATATATATATATATATCAATGTACGCGGTGATTATTTTTTTTAAGCCGCTAGATGTTTCGGACTACAGCCCAACGCTGCCTTTGATAGCGATAAGCTTCGCGAAGACATAAAGAAATCGTTCCATAAGGGATACGAAGGTATATATTTGCAACATCATGCATGCACAGCCGCTTAACGTAACCATAGCTACGTGTCATGCAAGCGCTGAGAAATTTTATGTATAAAACAAAAAAGACAAAATAAGCTTGATAATTTATAAAGCTCTATAGTTTGATGATTTTTCGGAGATATATGAGGGAAAAGGTGCATGTGCACGGAGCCAAAAAATTAACTTTTTTTGCGGTACAAATCGAATTTTATCATAGCTGATTAATACTGAAGGTGTTTGTTGTTTCATGCAGAGTTAAAAGTCCGACATATTTTTTCTCTAACTGCATGAGTTCACTCTTTCCAGCTGCTCTTGCTGACAGCAAAAAGGCGAATAGCAATGAAAAGAGATATGACATTGGTATGTGTTTAAACCAAATGCAAATATTTCTATTGTGTGTACGCAAATACTATGATATACTTAGACTTGTTAACACATAAAAATTCTTCTTCAATTCATTAGAAACATTGAATCAAGCCGCAAGAAATCGAAATCCATTTTTAAGTAGTTTTGGTGGTGATCCTTACGGTAATAATGGGCTATTTAATTCAAATTTTACCTGGTCTAATAATCATTTAAAAAACTGCAAAACAAAAATGAGGGGGGGGGGGGGTGTTATTTAGCGTCCAGATTAAAAATGCATTTCAGAGAATTATAAATCTGAATATTTCAGAGAAATTGTGCATGCATCCTCCCGAATATTGGGTACTCTCCCCCCGAGGATTTTGTTGAAAATCCGTCCTTATATAAATATAGCTGTTCTAACTGCGATCATCTCACATACACCTTTGATTGCATGGACAATCCTATCATAATAGTGTATATATATACATGCACATTATTACATAGGCATGGGAAGTACGATGCTCTCGAAACAAAGACTTACGTTTGGAAGAAAGAAAAGATCAATTGGTAAGATATAACGAGAGCCTTGTCTATATTTTTCTCATATCCTGAATAGTCGCACATGCAGTATAATGCACTTGCTGGATGCATTTCTTTGAAGGGTATAATAGCCAAAAAAAAGTTTCGAAGCGATAGAATTGCCAGAAACGATTATTTTATCTATCAATTTTGTAGAAAGGTGCGTGATGTGGTAATTTAACTACGTTGTTTTTTCAGTGTCAAAGAGCAAACGATATGCGGGAGCATCGCAGAACGCGCTGAAAGAGGCTTACACGTCTGGTTATAAAGGTCTAATTCTAATCTAATTCTTGACTCCACTGAAATATTTTACACTGATTTTCTGATCTGTTTTACTGATTTTATATATTTCTAAACCTTATTTTGATCATTTATATATCATATGCCATGGTTTGCACTATAATTTTGATGGGGACGTCATATATTAATAATTTAAATCGTATTGCTTTTTCAGCTGGTAAAGAAATGCTTGCCAAAATACACAGAGAAAATACGAATACCGAAAAAAAATTTACGATTGGTATGTTTCACATGTCTCCAAGCATATAATTATCTACAAGAAATAACTAAAGGCCCTGTTACACGGTGCAATTTTTCTTGGAACTTGCAATGCAATTCTACTTCTAAGAGATGTAAATTAGTGAAGAGTCTTGCAGAAGAAAAATGAATGAAGTGTAATTAACACAAAAGATTCGTTGTTCCATAAAATACATCTTTCAAAAGTAAAATTGCATTGCGAGTTGCAAGAAAAATTGCACCGTGTAACATGGCCTTGAATAATATACACACTTTTACTATCCATGATCATTATATCGCTTGCATGTCGTTTATTTTTTCTATTTAGAAAAACTGAATAGTGCTGCTCGTCACCGAAATGTCTATTTAGATGCAGTTGGAGGTGATCCTTATGGTAAGCGGTTATAGCTTCCTAACTATATATTGTATCCACCCTTTCCATTCTTTGTTTACTGACACCCCCGTTCGCGGGATATTTAACGACGACAACAACAACATGCATGCAACAACGACATGCAACGACATGCAACAACGACATGCAACGTACTGCAGAATAACAACAACAGCAACAAAAACGACAACAATAACGACAACAACATGCAACAACAACAACGTGCTACAAAAACAACAACAGTAACAACATCAACATATATAACATGCTACAAAAGCAACATCCACAACATGTAACGTACAAAAAAACAACAACAACAGCATGGTTGCGCAACGCGCAACAACAACAACAGCAACGCGCAACAGCACGCGCAACAACAACAACAACACTGAACAACAACAAAAACAGCAACAACAACAACAATAACAACAACTACAATAATAGAAGCATCGATGACAAGAAAAAACTATAAAACAACAACCAAAAGGACACAATGAAACAGCGATAACAAGCATTGCAGGTATAAAAATGTAACACAAAGTCAGTTTAGTAAAACCGTATATTTTAAATTTAAGGTGGCAGCAGCGTGGTTGCATCACAACAACACATCAATTGGAATCGAGGAAAACGATCCGTCAACTAACTTGAACAAAGGATACCAATGGTTGGAAAATGTAGATTCTTATCCAGTCTCTTATTTGGAATTATACGCGCCATGCATACAAGATTTCTGCATGTCCATGACCATGATACTAATGCAAAAGACCATTTTTGGTATTTTCAGACAAACGCAATTTATTTAAACATAACTTCCTAATGTATTGCGGTACTCTACATTGATTTAGATCTATGCAAATTTAGAGTAACACAATCCATTCTTGCATCGCATTGCTGGATTTGCCGAACATTGGCCACAAATTAAAATTTTGCCACAAATTAACATAATATTATATATGCCGCAAATATAGTATACTCGAAAAAACACATCCTTGATGTCATCAGTAATTTCTAGAACATGCAAAGCACATTTCTAGCATATGCTTTGACATTTGTTCCCATTTCAACTCATTGTTTGCGATCACGCGTTTAGTTTAGTCATTAATGCCTTCGATTCGAGTTATATTATAGTCAAAATAATATACCTTGAATCGAATTCTCTTGTCTCTCGGACGACGATTGTTTCAAACCGAATTGCTGTGATGTCAGAAGAAGAAAGTGCAGCAGAAAGGCTTGCCCTGGATACGAAGATCCGGAACCGTGGCGCTCGTTTCCCTTATGTTTTTTGAAGTTTGCTTGTATTCCTTTTGCTACACGAATTCCTTGTTTCTGCTCCAGAAAGTCAGCCGGACGAGATCGTACTGAACAAGGTAGGTCGAATGCTGGTCACAATGTCGAGGCCGCGCGGACATGCATGGGACTGATGTATGTGAACATGCAGGGAACAGGGAGAGTAATAAAGGATAGCAAAGTTCTAATTCAAATTTCAAAATCGCTTTGATCAAGAAAGGTGTTGCCATGCATGCAATATGAGTGTTGGCAATGGGGTGCTGGAATCAGACTTGATAATTCTTTACAATTAGTCCGACGACACTATGATTCCTGTGGACATTGTGAATAATAGTTGTTAAAAAAATGGCCGTTCACTTGTAACTTTGACTTTCCCTGTTTCATAAATCATATGCAACTCTCGGTAAAAAATTTTCTATCGTTATAAAAATAGGTCGGTTAAATATGGTTTCATAGTTCGGTTGACATGACCCTGAAGCTTTAATAAATGCTCTCTCAGAGCGGTCGTCACTCGTCAAGAAGTTCGAAGACGCAAGTGAAAACACTCTTGAGAAAACGAAATTAACCTGCTGTGTGCCTGTCTCAAATTACATAATCTCAGTGCTCCCAGTGCTTGCTCCTCATCTCAAATCAAATGGCAGCTTTGAGCTTACCTGTGGACCTTTAAAGATAAAAAGTCTGGGCTACACGTAGTTTGAGATGAGCTGGCCAATCAGGAACAAGCTTGGTTTGCAAACTGCGTCACACACTTTGCCAAAATCACTCCAACATAACGAGATCAGCGTTGTATTATCCAACATCAACACATTTTGTATTTTTGTTGACACTTGAGTTGGGTGACAACTGAAAAGAAGCCTTGGAAAGTCTCAACTTTCCCCTTGTTTTTGCCACAATTCGAGCTGATCGTACATATACAAGTTTTGATCATTACTTCGCATCAAATTCAGTATGAATTTGTGGCTTATTTTGGCACTTCTGGCTCTGGGTAAGTTCTGTATAATTTAGCAATTATCAATGCGGCTACACGTACTGTAAATTTCGCTTTGCAAAGTTAATATTTACCTATTAAATTTCTATTATTAAAGTGTGTGGTTTAGATATAGGGATAGTGCACAGAATTTAAGACTTGTTTTGTTGTGGTATTATGGCAATTGGGTTTAGCCAAGGTAGTACTATTAATCTAGGTTAAATTTTTATAGCGGTTTTCTATTAAAGTATAAACTGCAGAATAGTCTTGTATAAACCTATTTTAAAGAATATCATTTCAGCACTGAGTAAGTTGTTTATAACTTATATTCGAGTCATTAGTAATGCGACGAAGGACATATGGCACATTGTTTCGGATAACCTGATGAAAGATTCAAGGAGGATGTTTATGGCCTTGCGTCTTAACTTTGCATTTCAATTAGTTTATATTATTCATGTTCTGCCCAGCATAATAAACATGAAAGCCTCTGTGATCTGTTGTGTAAGCTTTAGGGAACAGGTGAAATAATCACTTTGCAAAACAAGTTAGTTTTCCTATTAAAATGTGTATCTTTTACTATTCTTCTGAAATTGAATTAGATTCATTGGGGCAATTATAGAATACCTGGCCAACCCAGCTTTTAACAGTGAATGTCATATAGTCTTCTAGATACATGTACCTTGTTTTATGTTACTTAATCCATGAATTTGACTTCCAGAGAACAAGAATAAACACTGGGCAGTTCTATACTATAAAATTGATCCGCTAACACATCTTTAACATAATGGACTATTAGCCTGGTATTCTATAGTTTTACCGATTCAATTTTACCAGCAAGGCTGTTAAAATCAGGCCTTATATTTATCAGGCCTCGATGCCCAAGTAAATTGAGCATTAACTAGATACCATACATTAGATACCGGTAGTTTAAATCTATATCTTTGTGGGTTTTTGCCTGTTATTGGTCTTCCACAAAGAAACATCATTGTTTGATGAACAGACTAAAATGCCTCTATGTATTATCTCTGGGACTTTGGATTAATTTCTATGGTAGACTAACTGAATTTTTGTTGGTGATAATACTATTATCATAATAGAACTAAAAAAACTAAAGGAGCAAGATTGATGACCATTGGTCAATTGTTATTTTTAGTATGTGTAAGAAAAAATCTCATGTGAAATTAGCATTTCCAACAGGGCCAAAACTAGAACAATATTGGAGAGGGAGGGGGTAATATATAAATAAACACCCCCAATTAATTATTATTCTAGAAGAAACTTGGGAATTTTGAAGGACATCTATATAATTAGGCTACACGTTAATTTTATTGTCTGGCTTACAACTTTTTCCGCTGTCAAATTTTCTGGTATCATATTTGTGATGTCAATTGGCCTTTCAGTCATTGGCATCACTGAAAGGGGTATTAGATGGGAGCGTGCTTGTCACTCTCAATTATATTTATATCAAGGCAATTATATTTAGAAAATGTAAGCTACCTTATGATTAACAGGTTTATATTAGGTAAATTAGAGAAATGGTCTCCTCACTTAGTGGAAAACTGCTATTATTTTTGACACTGAAATAAATGATTATTATTAAGTATTATTATTACTAGATGTGCTAAATGACTTAGGATTTGACAAGAAACATAACAAATACTTAATTAGGAGAATAATCTCTATCAGGTCTATGTATTATATATTTTGCTGTAGAAACAAGGAATGGATGAATCCACAATTATTAAATTACTAATATTAGCACTCTCGTGAATTTTGTAAATATGGTGCATACAATTTATTAGGATATATCTTTTTTTGCTTTTATATAAACATATCATATTATAATATATATAATATATTATATAATATATATATATATATATATATATATATATATATATAGATATATATATATACTGTATACATATATATTCCATGATTCAAGTAGCCAATTTTATGTTACCTTTTTCAAGCGAGTTAGTAAAGTTTCCATTATTATTATTAAGTGGAAAAATTTTTTGGAAAAAAAGAAGAATGCAGTTGCTTTTGTTTACAAAATTCTCTCTTGATGTTTAACCAGGAACTTACAATTAGGGGCCAGGGGCTATGCAGTTGTATAAAAGACTAGGCTGACTAGTTAACTTTTAACTCTAGTTAAGGACAGGATTGAACAATCAGAGTCATGTATTTCTGAGTTAACTAGGATTTAACTATGGAAAATGTAGTTAGAGTTTTATACAACCAGCCATGGGGCTCCTTGACAAAACCGAGTTAACATGCGCCTGGAGCATGAGCAACTATTCAAGAGCAAAGTTTGGCCAAAGTAACATTAATCAAAATTTCATCACACAATGTACAATTTGTAAAGAGGCATGGCCATTAAAATCTAAACCAAAAATAGCAGAAAAATGAGAAAATTTTACATGTTCTGGCTCGGTGTTCTATAAAAGATACAAAATCCCCTAAAAGATTTTCGTTTGAAAATTCACTGGTTTGATCACCTGTCCCTGATGAATTAAATGGTTTGACTCAAATTGAGGAATGTTGATTGTACGTGCACTACCAATCATGGGAATTTATATTTAGGACTATCCTTGTATTTATTAGCACTTTTTCGTGAACAAAATATTGAGACAATACATCGCAAACCCAACATGAACTGCAACGACTGGTATGACCGTATGCTGAACAAATGCAACAATTTTGAAAGTTTTGATGCGTAGGCCGTAAAATTAAAAACAAACGCACATATATAAATAAAATTTCATGAAAAATTCCATCCGTGGTACGCTTGTTATATCAAACTTATATCAAACTTATTTTATAATTATACTAAATTAGATAAAATAGAGACAGAAATTCTTTATACGAACAAATGCAAATATAAAAGGTACGTGACAAATATAAAAAAAAATCCAGGCGGTAGGATGCAGGTGGGGCCCAGAAACTACTTTTTACTTTGCCTAAACATTCAAACCTTGCTCAAATGGATAGAACGCTTCGCAGCTAGTTTGTTGTTTATGAGGCAATTGGCTGCTGTAATATTATTCGGTGCTTTATTTATAGACTTGTCGATCTAAGTTTTAATTGAAATGTTAAAATCTGTTCTTTCGTTTAAACTTGCCATGTTGAAGTACATAAACAAATTGGCCTGAAGACAGTAGTATTAAAGACTACCCGAAACATACTCATAGCGAAATAAACTTATATAGAATTTAAAAACTTCGTGTGGTAAATGAGAGTTTTAGAAAAATAAGTGAGTTCGCCGGCATGATTAATTTTAGCATAATTTGACAATGGTTTTCCTTCAATATATAAGACAATAGTCGATTTTATATTTCTAAAACGCTGCTCCAAGTACTCAAAAGTATCCGGCATGTTGATCTCATCGAAACCCCTCGATGATCATACGAACTTACGTTCTAAACACATTGTTAACTCGTTGAAGGCCTTAACTTTCCCTGGCCAGAATTTTTGTGATTCTTGCACGAAATTTTCGTATCAGAACTCCCTGATTAAATGCAGTAAAGGACATTCAAATTGGAATACTGGCATAAGTGTACTGGATGAAAACTTAGATTTGCACTAAATTTGCTGCATGCACACTTAATGAAAATTTCAGATTTGCTGCATGACGTTTGCCGAAATTTGCACTGGTCGTTTGTGCAAATACAGTAATCACCACCTTTGCTGTACATTTGCAACGGTGCAAATACGGCACTCACCAGGCTTGCACTGTGTTGCAAATTTGATGCATGCATGATGCATGCTACCGTATATAGTGTCTTTTAATCGCGAGCAAATGCTTCTGTATCATTTATAGTTCCATTACATGGCTATGTTCATGCAATAAACAGCTCAAACCCAGAATGCAAGGATTTACAGAAGCTGCGGAAGACGCTGTCCGGCAAAATCCCTTCCCTTATCGGAAAGGTGGACTGCATACCCAACAGCAATTGTACAGGTATAGCTACGACTAATTTTTCGAAAACGTTTCACATATAGCTACAGCATTGGCTTGACAAGCAAATCTTGAAAAACAAATCAGCACGTTTAGACTTTAGAAGACAAAACTAGAAAGGAACTCCACAAAATTTTCGAACAATTTGATCTCAAAATCACAGTCGAGGCAAATCTGTATGTTGTAAACTTTTTATAGACGCATGACTTCCGACCTTTCCGCCGGATAGTATAAACCCTATAGGAAGCCTCGTGACAATCTGACCGGACAACTGACGAGCAATCATTTAATTATGCAACACCTATTTACCAAAACACACTAAGACACAGCAGTTATAGACACAAATTAGACTACATGAAACATGCACCATGCATGTACTGCCACAAACACGCAGGAGCAGGCAACGCAACGTCATTTGTTATTCAACACTCGAGAGTGTGAGGACCAATGTTGGCCGCACCTTTCCAAACCTGCTAGACACACCACTTCCCACCTAGCCACAAGCTGCATACATATAAGATCTTTAATAGAGACACCGTTCAGGTTAACTTCGCGGTAGTATGGACAACGTGAAGTCCGTAGTTACCAAACACAATGCACGCATCATTAGGAACAAACAGTCACATAGCATAACCGCAGACAGTTGCAACTGCACCACTAAGGGCCTGTTTACATCGAGCGAGTTATCCCGGCTAGGCGAGGTGAAAACTGCATATAATGAAAGACTAATCAGGTTAAGCCTTTGATGTGGTGCGCTTTTTACCTCGCCTATATACTAGCCGGGATAACTCGTTCCATGTAAACAGCACATGCCCGCTAAGAAATCAGTGCATGACAAAGAACATAGTATGCAAGGCATGCAACTGTCATGCACCACTAGAAATGTAAACAGAGCAGAGCACTACATCGGTATGACCGCAAACACCTGCATTTTAAGAGCGAAACAGGAATCATATTAAATCTCTTAGACACAAAAGGTACTCCATTGACACTGAACTTTTGAAACATATTTGGCAATTGAAAAACAACAACCAAGATTTCAACTTAACATGGTCAATATTTAGACTTTTTTCATAATGACGTCAAACGCGGAAAGTCTGATGTTACACGAGGTTTGATTGGCTCGATAGTCTTGTGGAGCCAATCAAATTATGTGTAACATCAGACTTTCCGCGTTTGACGTCATTATAAGAAAGGTCTATTGTAAAATGGGCAGTTTCCTACGTACATAGGAGGATAAAGAATATAACTTATGTTTGGAAAAAAATTATAAAATTGTATTTTAAAAGAAAAGAATAAGACTTATTTGGTGAACAAGTCAGAATTAGTTTCTACATGTAACCACAAAAGAATATTTCAGGCCGATACGTCATATAATAATTGGAAAAGCATGCATTGTTTTGTATACCACCCACCAGCGTTTCGACCAAAACTACTTTACGGGATCATTTCGTTATTTGTCTACCACCTGAAGATTCCTATGGATGAAATAGATCAAAACTTCACGCGATGGATGTTCATGCGCTCTGGATATCATAACTGTTCACACGCACTCGTTTTATACATGCAGTAATAAATTTCCTCTGAATAATTTTGTCAGGTGTGGTATGCAAAGGTAAAGTCATGGGAAAGTCTTTTAGTGGGATATCCATCGTCCTAGAAGGCTGCAAAGAGCCGGTCAGAATGGTCGTTCATGCGAATAAAAAACGTATGATTATCACAGATAACTTCCACAGAAAGTTAACGTCGAAACTTGACGTAACCGTTGGTCTGCAAAAGAAATATCCAAACACTGTTTTGCTTACGGTAAGTTGAATCGCATGTCTTAATTGTGAACAGTAATTTTCTCGTGATGTGATTTGACTCAATGCACACGATGAAAAGTTCACTCATGTTAATTTTGTTTACTTCCATTAATTGCTAAACCGTGCAAAACAAAATGAGGACTACATTTATGAAGATATTTTTGCTAGATTTTTTTAGCAAATTCGAACAGAAATAATTATCACTTTGTATATTGACTGCTGGAGAAACATTGTTTTCGTTTCTGTTCCGCTGTTTAGGTCACAGCAAGATTGTGTACCATCGTGAAATGTTTTCATTACAAAATCCTCAATAAGCAAGCGATAAGGGTTCGTTGCAATGATTCCGCTCGTAAGTATTGTTAACATTCTGTTATCACATATTATATAATAGCGTTAAGAATTCAAACAATTTAATTGGTCGAGAGCCATGATCTATAAGAGAATAGACTCACGGAACGACGTCACAGATAATTTTGACGAATTTGATCAGTCATCTCTTGTTTTATTTTGTCAGCCAATCACATTTTAGCACATTTATTAAGCTAGCCAATTGCATTTCTTCAATCCTATAGATCTTGTACGTGTGATATCCGCAAAATTTTTACTTTCCAAATGATGGGGAAACTATTTGCCTGTTTAATTTCAGAATTATTTCGATTTTATTATATAAAACAAATAGATACGGGAAGGGGGCAATTACCCAACAGCCGAAGGGCTTCTTTTGTGTTACACAACTATATAGCTGATAAGGCAGGGACCAAAAAATTTCCCCGGGGCTTGCTCATTCTCTCGACGCCCCTCTTTATAGGTAATGATTGATGTTGTCTCATGCACTGAGTCTCACGAATATATTGTAACTAACTTCTGACGGATATTTATTTGATAAAATAACTGGAATTAATTTAATAATTATAATCACATAATGTAATTATTAAATAGTTTCGAAGTAACGCCCGTATATATTCGTAGAACTTCATAATTATGTGTTAAAATTTTTTGTGCAAGTTGCTATGCCACATTTGTTCGCTCGTACATCTTTAATAAAATTTGCTTACAAAAATTGTTTTTCTTTCATTCCAGTGCCCTCAGCGCAACGCTCGCATGATGCACCTCTCCGTAAGTATTGATTAAAACTTTTGCATACATCTATACTGATGGCTTTATCTGATGCCTGCGTGATATATTAAAGCATAACCCGAAAACGAGTTTTAACTTTATTTGCGATTTACCCAAGAAATTTATTATTTATTAGCTATAATCAAAAGTTTCAGCTTGTGAAATGTTAGTTATAGAATGTTTTTTCACCGGCCTTTCTATTTCATTGTCGCTCTCTAGAAACAGATTTGTTAAAAGCTCGTTATGTCACTCCTAAACGTGACATACGGAAAATACGCTAAACTAACTGGCATATTTGTTTACATTTTTCAGGCAAAGCTAATCAGAATGCCTCATTTTTTAATACTTCATGTAAAATGGATGTAGTCAAAATTTATGCATTCGTTATCAAGGAGAATTTGTTTCTTTTGCATGGCCGATAACAAGTTTATCGGATCTTTCGGTTTATAAACGTGTGATCTGGTAGCTAGTGACATGCGCTTCTAAAAACGCCTCGTGTAGAATCAAGTGAATTCTTAATTGCTTTACCTTATAAAGTTAGCCTTTAAATGCTTCATGTGTGAGATCTAAATACCACTTTCAGTTTCATGACAAATCATACTGTGTATAACCGTGTTTTTAAGCGTGCTAGCTACTATATATAATTTACCTTGACAGCTTCAAAGAGTCCGGAATGTAAAGGCTTAGAGAAAACAAAAACTCAAGTAGAAAATAATTTTGGATTGATCAAGCCATTATTTAGGGACGCAAAGATATCTTGTAAAACCGCAAACAACTGTTCTGGTAAGTTAGCTTGAAACAATCATGCAACCAATAGAAAGCTTTAGCAGTGACTACGAGTACGACTACGACTACGAGATTCGTCATTCTCGCGCGTTGTTTGCTAACGCCATCAGCCAAAACTCGTAGTCGGTGGGCTTTCGAGTACGAAATTTATCAAAAAGCCCGTACTCAAAAGCTCGGCGACTACGAGTTTTGACTGATGGCGTAAGCAAACAACGCGCGCGAGAATGACCAATCTGGTACTGACTCGTAGTCATACTCGTAGTCACTGCTAAAGCTCCCTAATGTAAGTCTTAGTGAAGCCAATGTTGACGGCACATGGCTTGGTGAAATAATAGCTACAACTCGCCGCCAAAGCTTATATGCATGCATATTTTCATTATTTTGGCGCCATTTTTCTAACCCGCAATCTTAATGACCACACAACGTAACGTGACTTGGAAATATAGCTCTATACCGATAGGATGATTAGATTTATCTGGCTTAGTTAGATTTATTGCAGTCGTACAGGTAATATTCATCTTTTTCGTTTCTAGACCTCAAATGTTTCGGAGTGGTGAATCACAATCGCTTCAATGCCACAGCGACTGTTAAGTACTGCTCCAATCCAGTGAAACTCAGACTGGTGGCTGATGTTTCTAATCATGCCTCTGGTAAAGTACGACATATCGACCACACTTTTGAGGATGGACAAAGTTATAATGTAATAAAAATCTTACCAGTTGGAGTGGATTTAAAGCGCGTGGGGAACTCCGTCTATCTTTCAGTCTACGTAACGGTGCGTACCAAATGTGTTGTTGGACGTGTAGTTTTTTATGAAACTTGTGCCTGCATGGTGAGGGTTTTCGAATGATGACAACAATTTTGTCCGGCCCTAAAGCCTAGTTTTCATAAGATTGTTATCTATTGCTACCTGTCTCATTTTCGAAGTCTTAGGAGTAATCTTGAAAGACCGACAACGACAAAAAAGACCCGAAAACGACAATGTCGTTGGGATAGAACAAACCCTATCTCAAAGAAATATAACGATAATTAATCAAGAAAGGACAAAATTTAGGTAAAAACGGTCAGATACGGTGACATACGGAAAAAGAAGAATCTGAAATTTATACCAAATTCTTATATGGAATATTTTACTAAGTAGAAAAAACTTAGTAAGTCGAAAATTATTGTGAAAGGTACCTGAAGAAGTATTCTCTGTCATGCAGAGGAAGTTCAGAGTTGTTTATGGTACGCCCCAAGCTCTTCTCGCTTCCTAAAAATTTCTCTGACCTAAAAGCGGTTTTTTTCCCTTTGTTTTCGTTTGTCTATCTTCATGTTTTGATTTGGTGATATTTTTTCATTAAGGTTATTTTTAAAAAAGTATATCTCGTGAAAAACGTAAGCATTGCGATTGATCCTTCACATTGTCCCGGCCACCACGGTAAGACGATTTTTAACCCATCCACTGTTCCTGAAGCTACAGTATACAAGCCAAATTCATGTAAATAAATTTTTTTAGATTTAGTTCCTCCAATAGTAGCTCCTTCGCGTCATTCATCCCATTCTACAGGTAAATATATATATATATATATATAGACATAGCTTTATAGGTAATACTATAACTATTAAGGAAGACTAGCCTGTAGAGTATCAAACTTTCCATGAATATTTCGTTAACTCTCATTCATCTATTATATTCCTCGCATGGTCAAACGTGATCAAATTTAATTCATATATGACAGCACGCACGCCTTGCATTTCAGCACATTTTACTTTCGTCGAGTTAATATTATCTCTAAGATTTAACTCCAGAATATGTGTAGCCAGTGTGACCATCCATGTATGCAAATTTTTAACCAAAACTGCTCAAATCCATTTAGATTGCCTCCACCTGGTATAAATTTGATAATTTAGCATCTTGTTGCGCAATTTAAAATGCCTGATGTTACACTTACACTGCGCTAACCCAATCAGAAGGCATAAATATTGGCTACTCTCGTAAAAAGATACACTATTTTCCATTTTACATGAAGTATTAAAAATGTACGCTTAGCCTGGAAACAAATATATTTGCCGATAGTTTAAAAAGTAATTTCTTCCTGTTTTCCAATATACATTTAATTTATCTATTTGCTCCCAGCAATGATGCGCCAATGGCTTAGAGCTTTTGTGCCCACGTTTGACGCATGAAATCCTGATTTCATTCAGAAATACATTCCGAAGTATATTTAATCGATTATTTTTTTGTTATTATAAGATAGCCGAAATTTTAGTGACTATGTTTAGTACCAAGAACTATTATAGCTCTGACATAAATTTGAGACCGAAATAAAGAATATTTCAAGAAATTTTGGATACATTCCAATATAACCAGGGTGAGGGGAAAAGGGGAAAACGTCGAGAAGTCTTTTTTTTCTATTTTGTAGGTGTTCTACCACATTTGATGCGAAGTTATTTCAACACATATATTTAGTTACTTCAATCTACGAATAGATTTTCATTCGACAACTAGTCCTTGTCCTTTCCCATGCACTATAGATCTCCTGATATTTTATAAAATTTTCTTGTTACCATCATCAGGTAAATCCTTATCGTCCGGAGCAATTGCTGGCGTCGTGATCGCAGTTATAGTTTTCTTCGTCCTCCTGATCGGCGTGATTATCTGGATTGTGCGTGGCAAACGGAAAAAGGTTGCCCGTTACAATGACCTGGCAATGAATGACGACACTGATCCTATCTACTTTGATTCAGATCCGATTGCGTAATTTTATTACTTCAAATATCTGGAACGCTACCTTTATAGAAAATATTGATATTGCTGTTCGTTTAAAGTTTTCTTAGCCTCTTTAGCCTTAGCCCCTCACTGACTTTCGGTGAGTACTAATGGTGCAGAGTGTTGATACTTGAAAATGTTTTCATTTCAGTGTCCAAACTGCAAAGTTTGATTACGAAATGTTGTAAAATGAAGGAAATATAGTCTAATTGCTTTTTTGGTATTACGCGTGGAAGTTGTTACCACGTTTGGACCAAAACGTACGGGCGCAACGCGTACGTTTTCAACATTTGAAAGGCTATACTTGTTTACCACCGCATTTTAAAACATTTCGAAATCAAAGCTTGCACTTTTTTGGAAAAGCTCTATTCCCAAAATGTGGTCTTTTTTACAGGGTTGGTAGATTTCTAAATAAGTGAACCAATTATTATATTTAACATAACCATTATTTTCTTTGTTTAAAACAAGGTATCAAAGGCCCCAAACAACAATATTTGTTTATTTATTCAGTAACTTACCAACCCTGATCTTTTATGATCATATCTTGCATATTGTATTTTTGACACTTTCGTCTATGCTTAGTTTAGGGTAGCGTTCCCAGGTTTAACTTTTTTTATGCCGAGCCGTGCCAATTCGAAACTGTGCGCTTAAGAATTGTATAGGAGATTCTAATATCTTAATGTAGGAGATTGATCTCTTCTATCCCTTTCTAATATATCTTGCGCTAATTGATTTTTCTGAGGGAGTTAGAAAGGTTTTGTATACTCAAATATTTTTACTATAGTTTTATTGCTGTTTATTTCACATGATTTCGCTCAAACTGGAAATCGTGCCAAATCTGCGCATTTTCAAATTGGTCCGTTCTCCCGTAAGCTGTACGCTGGCTTTTTTGATCGAACAACATTTTTTGCCGGATTTGTTGCCATAACGCGGATCATTTGACCGAGATCAATTTAAAAGAATTCTAGCGAAAAAAAATGTTCGAGTGAAAAAATCCAGCATGGTGTAAATCGATGTTATCATCGTGATGGGCCTGCTAGCGGGCTGATCCATCGCATTTTTAAAAAAACGTGCACGAGTATACAGTAGCTATACCCGAGCCTGTATCGGCTCGCTTGTCGCACGAGATATATTTGTAAAAGTCAGGGGGGTGTAAGCTAATTGTCAGCGGCGACAGAAGTTTGTCATAACTATTGTTTCTGTTTGACAATTTTCCCATTAGGATTCCCAAACACTCCCATAATGGAGTTTTGATCAAATATTCAAAACCAGCCATGGTCAAGCGTTAAATGCAAGAGTAGATTCAAATTTTGTAGTATAATAAATAATGAGTGTTTTCATTCCTGCGATGGTAAGAACATTTTCATGGGGCGAAAGATGGAATGGAACATTCATTATTGAATTTAAAATACATTAAATAATAAGGTGTTGTATAATTCTCGATCACTACAGGTTTGGCCAAAGATATATAGCTAAGTCGTTAAAACAGCCCTTGTTTTAACGACTATATATTTTTGGTTATTAACTAGGGTTGTAGCAATAGCATTTTCTGCGTGCACTCAGTAAAAGAGCTGCAATGCAGTATGCCAATCTTTTAAAGTACTTGCAGTTTAGATCATTCCGAGATTTTGACAGCGCTGCAATAAATTCAGGCAGCGTAAAATGAATTTGAATGTAACATTAAGTGGAATGTATTTATTATTGTATATTAATTTTAATGGTTATATATAGAAGATGTAGATAGTTTGTTAAGTAATTTTAATACTGGTTCCACACTTGAAATTTTGAATAAATAGGTCTTGAATACGTTGTTTTCGTGTAAACGATTAGTTTTGATATTCAGTGCAATTTTCAAATGCACGAGAGTTCTTTTCGAACATCCGCAACTAATTCACTCGTTCACATCTATCATAAGGAGAAAATCGCAACAAAAACCGCCAAGTGTAAACGGGTAGTTTAAATTTTGAGAAGTTCTTTGTGTATCCGCATCAAGAAGATAGCAAATTCTAATTTACAATTCATTCAATTCTAACTTAAGTTGGGAAAAAAAGGCGTGTTTTCGCTTAAATATAATAAAATTACTTGATATTTTCGAGTGTCGAAGTCATATATGCAACGAAGGAAATGATAATTCAGTTTTGGCTTCTGATTGGTTCATTTTTATGACCAGGGGCCGGTTGTTCGAAAGGCGTTTAGCTTAAACGGTGGATAAGTTCAAAATGGAAAACCAAATTATCTATTTATTGAACAACTGAGCTGAAATATTTCGATGTAAATAGTTTAATTGTCAATGGAAGTACATATTAAATGCATAAGATGCAGGCTCAGTAATTCGCAAGATGTACGAGAGTATTTTTAAAATTTGGCTTATCCACTGTTTAAGCTAAACGCCTTTCGAACAACCGGCCCCTGATCAGCTGGTTGCTATGCAAAGCTATATCGCTGGACTATGTAAAATTAAGTGATTTAGCTTGTAGGTACATCACGTAAGTATTTAACACTGCAAAGCTTTCGGTACACTTTACCTTTCTCGCAGTTCGTCTTGTGTTCTTTTAGACGTATATTGAGAGATTTCTACCGGTCTCTCCAATGTAAACTAAACGACACTCACATGGAATGCGGTACACATCAGGTTTCTGGTGTTCATCGACGCCATCCTTGTGCGCGTAAAGACCGCGAAACAATTTGTTATTGCTTGAATGGTAAACTTGTATTCCAACTTCTTTTAAATTGGGAAAAACTTGAAAACAGCTTCATTTAAAATCCTAATGATTTTATACGAAGCTGGACCAATATATGGTAAACAGACAGTGGATAGCTATTCAGTGTCTTGTTTATGTCTTTGCTGTTCATTCATAGCATGATCTATGAAGTATAGCATGATCAGGAATTCCTAAAAACATTCATGAGTAGAACATTCCTCAAATGCTTTTAACTCTAAGTCAATGCTATTTGAATCACAAATTGTTTTAGCACGGTCGATTAATGTTTTGCATACCGATCTTTTGATGCTAGTAGGATGGTGAATTGAATTATAATTCAGATATCTGCCAGTGTGTTGATTTTCTATAAACTTCATGACTCAAAGTCCTGTTCTCTTTTATATCAAATAAGATATCTAAGAAAGATGTGGATTTATCTTTCTGTATTTCTAATGCAAATTTAATTTGAGGGTGTGTATATTATTAATATGATCTAAAGAAATTGTTTAAATATTCTAAACCATGCGACCAACTACTTAATGTGTCATCTACGTATCTAAACCAGAAAGCAGGTTTTAAACATGCTGTAGCTAGAGCTTTCGTTTCAAATTCTTCCGAGAAATTCTTCCGTCTTGTAACTATCCATGGGTTAACGGACCGAAAGCTTTGCAGTATTAAGTACTTACGTGGTGTACGGTGTACCTACCAACTAATTTACTTATTGACTGTCACCATGCAAACATACAAGAATATTATTATATAAAATTAGCTACTTATTTCGTTGGGTATATAATGAATTGCGCAATGTCGAATTGCTAAAAGGCAGGTAAAATTTTTAATGTCTGAGACCTGAAGAAGTGAATGATACAAATCTATGAATTTAGCAAGCGTTTGCTATTAACCGTTGCTCTACAGATAAAGCCCACTTGTTTCGATTTAGCCGTATAAGTATCGTGAACGCGTGTCAAGGAGGCTGATGTGCATGTGAGAATATTAACGTTCAAGTGGTTTGCCTGTGGTTTCCGTTAATTGCCGTGATATCTAACGAAAAAGTGCATGTGCGGTGAGTTTGAATTAAACTGGAAAGTTATTGATGATTATATGAGGGGCGGGGGGCTGATTATGTGATTAGAGATCACTTTGGCGATACGAGGTATGCCTATAATGTCTACCTATATATGTTTCCACACCAAATATATACTATAGACTGAAAGAAGCCAAACACGGGCTAAATTATTTAGCATTCAGGGGCCGGTTGTATAAAACTCCATTGAAATTGCTTGGTCAACCAATCGGTTCAGTCAAGTGCACTGTTTGATACACAACGCGTTCGTCAACGCGTTCGTCGCGTTGCACGGGTCTCGGTGAATTTCACGGTAAACTGTCGATTATTGCTAAAAGATACCAATTCAACATTCAAGTGCTTTGTTTCTGGTGTATTGTCGTAATATCTTACGAAAAATGTGCGGTGAGTGTGAATTAGAAAAAGGGGCTTATTTGGTTTGATAGCAAGTTTTCACTGTTGAAATACAAGGTATCGAGTATGTCTGCCAAAGTGTAAAAAATATTTATTGACTGCATGAGTGAGGTCAAACACAGGATGAATTATCTAATGCACGCCATGGAATCATGGACATCGTCAATGGTATGATCAATGTCATGTTTTGCTCGCCGAGTATTAACAGTTATTCTAGCTACCACAACGTTCGGAATAAGGCGTTACCATTAATGGTGGAACTTTGTAGGTGATAACATTCACGTTAACCGTATTTCGAAAGGTGAGAAACATATTAACTAACATGAACCCTACTTTATCGACACTTTAGTCACTACGTGCATGGTATTTTCATTTATAAACATTGTATTCAACGCATGAAACCTTAATGAGTGAGTCTTCTTGAGTGAGTTCATTCCTGTGCTGCACCTAACCATATTTCCGCTGCATTGTTCATTGTTAAATCTCTGGACATGCACATTGTGCAGGAGTTGACTGGTGTCTTCTAGAACTGAAATACTGAATGACGTGTTAATCGTATATTCTAGTAAATTTCTATTCGATCTTAATATAAAGTCCCTTAAAGTGCATAAAATGGGAATTTTTAAATTTTTAGAATATTTGTTTCAGGGGCGGATTTAGGGGTTGTCAGATGAGTCACGCGACTAAGTCAAAAAATACACAAGTCCAGGTCGAAATATTTAAACTTCAGTCAGCGAAAATAGTCATTCGATAAATTAACAGTCCAGTTAGAAATTATTAAGCTTCATGCAGTTGCCGGTCACTGACTTTTGAGCCCTCGGCAAATGAGTCATAATAGCGGATACCCGCTTGAATTTTGCCTCATCGACTTCTGATTCTAGGCATTTGATTGGCTTAGAATGAGTTTGACTCATCTTTGCGGGGGTCTGACTCATCTGTGCAATTTAAGCGTTTCCGATTGGCTGTTGGAGGGCTAATACTGGTTCTTCATTGGCTTGCCTTATCTTTGCGGGGGTCTGACTCATTCGCCAAATTTAAGCTTTCCCATTGGCTGGTGAAAGAAAAATATTGATTTCTTATTGGTTTGCTTTATTTGACTTAAAGGAAAAATATATCCTTTTCAGTAAATAAGGAATATTGAAAAATTTCTGGATGTTGACAGCGGATATTTTTAAAAATCTGTTGGATTCTACTGCTCGATCTCGCCATTTATACGGATTCGTATATTTATTTTACAAAATGGCATTTCATCGCAATGATTTGAGGTTCCTACAAGGCCCAATACAGATCTTTGTTAGGAAGTTCACGCTACAAATAGCGAATATGTCGAATAGCTTTCAGTTGCCGTCTTGTCAAGTAATATGGATAATTCCGTTACCTCGTGTGCTCGTCAACATGAGAAATCTACTGAGATAAGGTAAAGATTCATGTCGATGTTCATATAAACAATACTCCTATAAGTTCGTATAAACTATAGTCCTATAATTTGCTATGTTAACTGTATATTTGAGCGTGGTTCTGTATTAGCATATATTTGCATTCGCCCGTCGTCGTTCGGTCATAAGGTCGATTATTGTATTGTTTATTTGTATCAAGTATCAACCACGATTTACTGTATGAATTTACGTCTAACAAACAGCCTATATGCATAATACTAGATCTAGGCGCGTAAAGAAGATTTAGATATTTGTAAAATCATGTAATCCATGTTTATGTCAAAAAGTACAACGTAATCATGATTACCCACCAAACCAATATGGCAATTATGAATTATAGCGCATTATCAACAATATTGCCCAACTGTGATATTTACTGTAAAGTGTAAGCGGCATTAAGCACATATTATATTTGCCATGTAGCATAGCTTGGAGCAATACTAGCTTATGCTGTAACAGTTATGAATATTATTCAGTCACTCTTACAAATTGACCGCATTCATGTTTTTATTCCATGCCCATGGGTGTAATTTCCTATTATTGCCTGTTATTTCGGCTCACGTGTTTCTGCTATTAAAACTGAAGGCTCAGTAAACATTTAAACGTTAACATTTTTAATGCGTACTTTTCGCGTATAATTTTTGTATAAATTTCGCGTTCAGATGATAAGTTAATAATTTTTGAAATGTCATTATTCCGGGGGGCGAGGGCGGCAATTGCACCACCTCCCCGTTTTTACATCCGATATTTTGACTAACGTGCGAAAAATCCTAGATCCGCCCCTGATTTGTTTGAAATGAGTTAAGTTCAAAATTAAAATTGGGTTCTTATCACCGCCATTACTGTTGAGGGAGAATAAATAATCGACAAATTTTTGATCGACAGATTTAGCCACACTGACGACAACGCGCATGGTATTTTCATTTACATACATTGTATTAAAAGCATGAAACCGCGGCGTCTTAATGTCTAATGAGTTTTCATTCCTGTGCTTAACCTAACCACATTTCCCCTACATTTTTCATTGTTTATCTTTCTTAAATCTCACGACATGTTTAAATTGTGCAGGACCAATTGAATCACTGTGTTGCAAACACGAAGGCGGTGTTTATGTAAAGTTTAGTTAACAGATAAAAGTTTCAGTGAATAACGTCTGAAAAGATATGAGTGCGCTTATATTTATATACACGGGATTTGATGTTTCTTACCTAATATATATACTTATATATATGCAGTAAAGTGCATTAGGGTGAACTGTGTGTACGCAATTGTTATTTCATAAAAAAATTACAAATGACGATCAACTGGGACGATACTTTAGAAAGAAAGGTTCCAACACAATTCGGCGAGGATATATTGTTGACGAAATTTCCAAACCTTAATTGTATAGGACTGTCAGGTAACGAAAAAGAAAGCTAAATCTCTGATTGAAATCAAAATAATAAGAAAACGTTTGCTATTTACTGACATATAGTATCAAGTCTTCGTTGTAGTTTCGATGCGATGATCGTTATGCCATTGTTTGTTTTCGCGCGATAGCTTTTCAGCTTATCAATAGAGAACTTCCGTTACCATAACTGCTCGAAGCAGTCACTCACAGACTCTGATGAAATGTGTCGTAGTTGGAACACTGCCCAAAATTTGTGTTTTATTTCTCGAAAACAGAACTATTCACGAATAAAATTTGAAAAGATTCTACTGCATGTGCATGCATGCGGGTTGCAGAAAATTAATTTTCCATTCCGACGAAACTTTCGGTTTGAAAATCAAAGTCTTATTCATAATAAATTTAAAAGGCGCAACGCTCAAAGATTAAGCTGGCTTTGTAATTGAACTCATTCTATTGGATCTATATCGAATAAATGATTATTCTCAATTAATAGAGCTCATTTGACTGATTAGAGCATTGCGTGCATCAATCCAACCGGTTCACCATCGTGACATGCATATAAAATCAGTATGCAAATTTTTCACCAAGGTTGCCGCTCCCCTGGTATAAATTTCGTAATTATTAAATTCATGCAGGTGGGGCCGTCAGGTGCATTCGACCGAAACTGCATGGTATATAAAATATCAGATCTAGTAACACTGCGGCTCAGTCAAGCACACTGTTTGATACAATACATAACGCGTTGTAAGGATCTCGCTGAATTTTACGGTAAACGGTCGATTATTGCTAAAAAATGGTCAAATTTAACGTCCGAGTGCTTTGCCTGATGTTTGTCGTCGCAATTTCCAGCGAAAAAGTGTGCGGTGAGTTTAAATTAGACTGGAAAGTTATTAACGGTTATGAGGGGTGTGGGCTGAGATGCATGGTCAACTTTTTACTTTTGGCGAAACGAGCTATTTGGAAAGTCGAGTAATGTTTAAAGTCTACACTGAATATATATAGACTGCATGTGTAATTAGGCAACCTACTCGAGATGTTAAATATTAGGGTATAAGATTTAAGCATTGTAATAAAAAAGCTCATTCGCAAGGGCTTGTCCGAATAATAAAGTTCGGAATAAGGGCGAGAAATCGTTATCATTTGGTGGAACGTTGGGGATAGATTGTTAAAATGTACTCCGAATGGTAAGAAAACATTGACCAACACTCACTACAAACACCTGCGTGTGTAAACTTGGACCTGCATGCGGTTGGTCTCAAAGAATAGTCTAGTATTTGTCTTAATTCTACGCTTGATTTCAAGACACTTCGATTTCGATCGAAAAATTCCGCATTGCATGTTTAGAACATGAAGGAATATTCGAACTTTATTTGATCAACAAATTTGGCCGCAATGTGGTAAAAATTTGTATTTCCTCCACGGTCTTGGCCTAATTGAAGTATAGCTGTACTGCATGTGTACAATATACAAAACAAAAGAACTTGTTTGTAATTGTATTCGAAGCATTAAACCGTGATGTCTTAATGAGCGTTTATTCATTTCTGCGCTTGCCATAGGTAAACAGCATTTCCTCTTCATGTGGAGATGTTCATTGTTTGATTTGTTTCCCTTTAGTTATCTCTCGACATGTAAATAAGTAGATTTACACAATCGCTTGTACTGCTCCAATATCGGTACGGAATTTAATTAACCATCACCTTTTTACACTTTCTATGGTTAAAAATATCGTCGAAAAAACATATGCTTCACCACCATATAGGTATATTAATCGCAAGTTGTCATGCATGGGCATAAATATGTCGTTTGCGAAAGATTTTCCGGTGTGCAAATGAAATAAATTAATTTAGATATGTTTGAAAACCAGGCTTAATAAAAGGCGTAACCTCATAGATTAGGCTCGCTTTGTAATTCAAGTCATTTTACCGACTTGCCTGATCCGACGGAAATAATGATCCTCGATGAATAGAGCTGTCACATAGGTTTGACTGATTAGAGCAAACCCTATATTAAAATTCAAATTGCTTGATCAACCAACCGGTTCCCCAGTGTTACCAATATATGCAAATACTTTAACCAAAGCTGCTCAAATCTATTGAGACTGCCCCACCTTGTATAAATATGGTAAAATTAAAGTCAAGCGGGGCTGTCAATGTGCATTGGACCGAACCTGGTTTTAAAAACTACCAGATCTGGTCACACGGCGGTTCAGTCAAGTGCACGGTTTGATGATACACAACGCATTGCAACGAGTAAGCGCCTCGCTGAACTTCATAGTAACCTTCACCGTCGACTATTGCCTAAAAGATGCTCAAATTTAACCTTCAAGTGCTTTGCCTGTGGTTTATTGTTGCAATATCTAACGAAAAAGTGTGCGGTGAGTTTATTTTAGACTGGATGCAATATTAGTTAATGGTTATGAGGGAAGGGAGCCCATTTGCATAGAGATGGTAAACTTGTCAAATTTGGCGATACGAGCTATCTGGAAAGTCGAGTATTTTTTAAGTTCACACCAATATTTTATAGAATAGGCCGCTTTGATGTGTAATATTGAATAATAAATAAATCGCATGCATTTTAAAGTGATATCATAGCGAATTGGCAACATATTGATCTACTATAAGGAGAATTTCCTCTTTAAAATGGTTCAATTTTTGTTAAAATCGGTCAAGTATTCGCACAGAAATCGCAAGTTAAGTGTTAAAGTGAGCTACCACTTTGTCTTTGAGATGTCATCTGATCGGACGAGAATTAACTATTTGATTGAAAGAACGTACTTAAACCACGCTCAATATCTTGGTCGATGATATATTTGACGCTTCGAATTAACAATGCTAGTTAATCTAACCAACACACGCTAATGAAAGCTGTGAAACGCTGTTTCATTGATCCCAATAATGGAGATACTCAATTTTTTCCCTTACTCAAATCTCTCAACATGTAAATTAACTACAATGGCATGTAATGTTCCTTATTTGCACGGCATTAATTGTCATTTTCCCCTTGTGAAACCATCACCTTTTTAAATCGTTTTTTTTGTTTAAAAAATGAATATATAAATATCACTCCAGCCTCGGTCCCGCTGTGTATAATCTTTACTATTTTCTATTATCGTAATGATTGCGGCCCAACCACAAGGACCTTGTCTCTATATATAAGTAATTTGTTTCGAAGAGAACAAGTTTATCTCAATACATCGCTAAGAATAATCATAATACAATTTAATGCGTTTGAAAAATGGAGGATGCTACACAATAAATCGCAAAATCGAAAACAGAGATATTTTCAATAAAATTTGAAACGGCGCATGCGGTTTGCGGAAAAATTTGGAAAGCAAAATGGAAAGCAAAAATATATATTTCAACTGAGCTGAAATATTTCGATGTAAATAGCTTAATTGACAATGGAAGTTAATATTTAATGCATAGGATGCAGATTTAGTCATTCACAAGAAGCATGACTATGAGAGTAATTTTAAACTTTGGCTTATCGACCGTTTAAGCTAAACGCCTTTCGAACAACTGGCCCCAGGCTTAATAAAAGGCGTAACCTCATAGATTAGGCTCGCTTTGTAATTTAAGTCATTTTACCGGCGACTCGCCTGGTGCGATGGAAATAATGATCCTCGATGAATAGAGCTGTCACAAAGGTTTGACTGATTAGTGCATCCCTATATTAAAATTCAAATTGCTTGATCAACCAACCGGTTCCGGCAGTGTTACCTCTATATGCAAATATTTTAACCAAAGCTGCTCAAATCTATTGAGAGTGCCCTTTATTTGAAAATGGAGCTAGGATACTACACAATAAATCGCATCACCTAAAAAATAACATAGAAATAGTAGACATTAAGAGTTTTGTGTATTATTTTTACGGTATTGAATATACATTTTCTTTCTAGAAGCATGTATGTCGGAAATCAATTGGGCTGAAATCAATGAAAAACTTCCAACAGGTCCGGATGAGGGAGATGAACGCAAGGAGTTGTTTAAGAAATTTGACGTGATTAAAAATGGTCGGCTCGCGCTTTTTGAGGTTGAAAGGGGATTGCGATATGAGCCGAAACTCGGTGTTTTTTATGATGCAAAACCTGCCTTTAAAAGAGCGTTCGCCTTGGCTAAGGACAGCGAGGAATCAAGTTACAGGAGAGGTGATGATTACGTCGAGAAACCTGAATTCAGGTATTTCCTTCAGTCCCTTCTACAATCCTTTAAGTGTTACATGGCATTTTCCTGCGTCGATGCGAGCAAAGACAGCAGAATCGAGTTAATAGAATTTGTGAATGCTGAACCAGAAATCAAGAGATGGGTTGGAAAGATTAATGATGCTGAAGAAGAATTCAAGAAGATCGATGCCAATGGCGGAGGGTATATCTTGTTTGACGAGTTTTGCAACTGGTTGGATTCCAAAGATTTTCATATTGAAGACGATGACGATAACATTTTGTAATGATCAAAATCTGGCAGTGTTGTTTGATCTTGTCTTGATCAATCTTTAGGAAAATTTAGTTGTTAAGCACGTTTTCCAGCTTTTTTTTTGCTCCAGTTCTAGTGTAGAGCACTTGTGTACTTTTGTTAAAATAAAAGAGAGCTTCTCTGGAAGCTTTTCAGCCACGTTTTCGGTATTATGTTAACCGGGAGAAGCCCTATATGCGAGGATTTCAATTCTGCAGTACCTTGACATTTTGCGGAAAGACACTTTACCGAACGTGTATTTTGCTAACGGACATTTTGTCCAACGGACTTTTTACGAGGGCTTATCCGAATAATAAAGTACGGAATAAGGGCGGGAGATCGTTATCATTTGGTGGAACGTTGGGGATGGTAACATTGTTAAAATGTACTCCGAATGGTAAGAAAACATTGACCAACATTCACTACAAACACCCGCGTGTAAACTTCGACCTGCATGTGGTTGGGTTAAAAAAATAGTCTAGTCTTTGTCTTAATTCTTCGCTTAGAGGAATTCCGCCTAGAGGAAAAGCACTCTTATTAGATAGGGCATTGTTTAGAACATGAAGGAATATTCCAATTTTATTTGATCAACAAATTTGGCCGCAATGTGGTAAATATTTGTATTGCCCTCACGGTCTTGGCCTAATTGAAGTAGCTGTACTGCATGTGTACAATATACAAAACAAAAGATCTTGTTTGTAATTATATTCAAGGCATTAAGCCGTGATGTCTTAATGAGCGTTAATTCATTTCTGCGCTTGCCGTGGATAAACAGCATTTCCTCTGCATGTGGAGATGTTCATTGTTTGATTTGTTTCCCTTTCTCTTATCTTTACCGAACTGACTTTTTACGAAAAGTGACCTCTTTGGTAATTAGGTCAAAACATTTTAAAGATGATGTAAAGTCCGTTCTGCGCATATATTCCGCGCAGCAACACATTCCATCAGTGGGGGAGCAACTTTTGGAATGTTAATGATATATGCGATATTAGCGCGTTGTATTACAGACGGACAAGTTCTGGGGCACAATTATTTTATTTTATGTCGCAAGGCGAAGAGGCTCGAATTGTGAGTGATGAAGATAAGGCTGCTAGATAAAAGCAATATTATGCTGAAAGGAATGCTTCAAGAATTAATTTGTTGAATGAGGACACGAGATGGCGAGGCTATTTGTCGTCGCTACAGACGCTACTTTCTTGCTTGTCCTACAATTACAAATACTGTGTATTAATTTTTAAATAACGAGTGGTTTATTTACAATTGCCTTGGTTAAATTCGTCTGAATTAGGGAAGATCTTACAGTGAGGCTCAAAAGTTTGAGTCCAAATTGGCGCCGTTCTAATATTTTGTATGACCTCTTAACCTCTTTTACGTTTCAAAATATCTTGGACTTTTTCTGGCATAGAGTGAACCAGTTTTGTTAGCAGTATTGCCTCAATTCTACTGCAAAATTATCGATTGGACTCGTTGACCCCCACCGTGTATGTTGACGATTCAGTTAGCGGGATGACAACGGTTAAGGCGGCACAGAAGTTGAAAGACGATGCGATCGATTCGCGATCTTCAACGATGCCACATTTACTCTTCATGAATGGCATTCAAATAAGCTAAAATTGGAAGGCACGACAACTGACTCCGAAGAGTAAACGTTTGCAAAGCAGCAATTGGGGACACCGAGTGAAGGAAAAGATCCAGTCCAAAACTGAAATCGAGTGGGCTGTATGTTCCGACAGATTGCAATCCCGCCGATGTGGGTGACAAAGGGGAAGGAAGCAAGTTGTGGTTAAACAGAACGGATTGACCCAAAAAGCAAAATTGGGTGGAAGAAGATATCGTCACCTAATGCAAAAAGAAAGAGAAACTCACATTCATGATGATGAAATTCAAGATGTTTATTTCGTTTGGTTTTTAGTAGTTTTTAAAACTTCCGGAAATTTGCTGAAAGTTATGTCATGAATCCAACAATAAGCAATATATATTTATCAAGTTTACGTGTTTCGTAACATGAAAAATTTATTTTTTCTGCTGTTTGAAGCAAGAGTTTAAAGTGAAACCAACGCTGTCATGCAAGAGTGGAAACGCGTAAAAGGGAGTCTAGTAACTAAAGGAAATTTATGATAGTGGTAAGCCTAAAGCTGTTCGAACAGTCAAATGCAATTTCTGAACACCGGCCAACGAAAAGCTCCTTTTGGGGCTGTTTACATGAGCCCGGTTACCCGAGATTCTACGAAGCGTGAGATGATTTTGAGGTATTGAAATGAGCAGATAACATGATCCTGGCAGTCGTATAATCACTACAACAATAGCATGTGCTTGTTTGGTGTCATAAAAACTTATTTCAATACCTCAAAGTCCTCTCACGCTTCGTTGAATCTCGGGTAAACGGGCTCATGTAAACAGCCTCTTATTTACTGCGGAACGTAGTTTTCATTGATCTTTTATCTTGACGGGAAAATCGCGGTCTCAGTTGAGCAGGTTGTCAAGCAGGTGGTTGGATAGTGAATATAAGATTAGCGATTTTATTGGCTAATCACAAAGCATGTGGTCCGATTTCTAAATTTACTAATTGGTTGTTCTCAGTTACGCAACTTGCCAAGCAGGTGATTGAATGGTTAATAATTTATGATCACGAAGACAAGCGATTTTATTGGCTAATTCCCAACTACTAATGGACTTTCGGCGATAAAAATGGGATTTCCGAAAAGAATTAACTCGTAATGCAAAATTGATACAAAAATTGCCTACTTCGTATAGCTATATTTGCGCACCACTTGAAATTTTGCAGCAAAACTTTGCAAACAAATGTGGGAAAATCTTTTAAGCGAATAAATGTGGGAAAATCTTTTTATTTTGATATAAGAAGTTTACGTGTTTCGTATAACCTAAAAAATTGTAAGAATGAGCCAAAAAGATCCCGAGTGCATTACATCATTCAACACAACAGCGATATTGAAAGATACTATTCTGCCTGTCATCATGCACGTGCATTCGAGAGTATTTCGACCACTGAGCTATATTAAATTCCTGGAGGACCGGCTCGCGGCCAAATCGTGTCCGCAAAAACATGGCGGATTTTGAGCTTTGCTGACGCCACATGGTTCCTTTTGCTCATGGTGGTTACCACTGACATACCGCGATACAAGGTGAAAAACTGTGTCCATCTCCTTCCTGGTTTTTATGAAAATATTTTCGGCTTTCGGTATATATTTTTTGTATTTCATATAAAAAGGATAAAAGTGTTCCTCTTTTCCTGTTCAACAAATGGAAAGGAGACGTAGCTTTGTGCTCTATATGTCTGACGTTGTGAATGACTTAATTCACTTATCGGGGGAATGATTTTTCTCATTCGGCTGTTATTTTATAGCATCCAGGTAAGCCGGTTTATAACAATTTCAGTTTTTTCTTTCTCCTGAGCTTTGGCCTCTGTTTCTTTGGATTATACCTACTAGATATATTGTCCTGACGACATTCAAGAAAACATTGATTGCATACTTTCAGTAATTCTGCAGTTCATGTAGTGTTCAAAAAAGTCTAATTGATGTACATAAATATCCAGTTGTCCCCAAAATGTCCGACAATAGTGCCAAAAAGTTCAAGCATTTGTTATAGGAATGTATGAATAATGAAAAAATAAAAAAACCTCTGTCAGCTCGTGTCAGAATTAAAATCTTCAATTTTGTCCACAAATTTTTGATATGTATGTTTTAATATGTATTTGTTCTTGTGTGGCAATAACAGCGTCTACGACTTGTATTCATCTTAAAAAAATGCTTTATATTTTAAAAAAATGCAATTATTGATGTTTTCATGACTTTATATTTCAAAAAAACGAAACAAGTTTTCACGGGAAATCTTTTTTATAAAGGCCAGGGGGGAGAACCTGTTGTCTACTAAATCCAGGGGGGAGAACACCCTTGTAGCGGGCTCATAATTGAGCCCGGTCAGTGGTAAATGCCATGGCCAAAAGGAACCATGTGGCATCAGCAGAGCTTCTGCGGTTGCGCAGAAGGGCGAAGTCCGCCCAAGTCCGCCATGTTTTTCGGACAAAAAGATGGCTGGAAGTTACCAAAAAATAACGAGCCGGTCCTCCAGGAATTTAATACAGCGCAGTGATTTCGACACATGAATACGGCTGTTGAAACAAACCGCTGATTTTGTCTTTTAAGCCAGGTGGTTGGATAGTGAGTATAAGATTAGCGATTTTATTGGCTTTTATTGGCGATTAGCTAATATAATCGCTAATCTTATATTCACTATCCAACCGCCTGCTTGACAACCTGCGCAACTGAGACCGCGATTTTCCCGCCAAGATAAAAGCTCAATGAAAACTACGTTTTGTAATAAATAAAGGAGCGTTTCATTGGCCGGTGTTCAGAAATTGAATTTGACTGTTCGAACAGCTTTAAGCTTACCATTATCATTAATTTCCTTTAGTTACTAGACTCCCTTTACGTGTTTCCACTCTTGCATGACAGGGTTGGTTTCACTTGCAAACTATTAAATTAGATTGGCCCGGCGAAGATTATGGCGTTGAGATGGAATCGTTGCCAAGTAACGCATTCTTTGAAAAAATGTGGAAATCAGGCTAGGATTACACGAAGTGGGCAGGCTCTGATGTAATATAAGTTAAGACAAAGAATACTCAATACGGCAATAAGTAAATAAATCTCATTTTTATGCTTCTAGATACGTTGACGACAAATAACATTGCGTTTAAATCATTTATCGGCGATTATGCCAAACTGGTTTAAGAAAACTACAGCGAAATTTTGCTCTTAGTCAAACCGCAGAAAGAATAAATTTTTCATGTTACCAAACACGCAGACTTGTTATATCAGTATACAAATTTGTCCCTTTTAATCGCTTTTAGTTATAGCTATATTGTTTATTGTTGGATTCATCACATAACTTTCAGCAAACATCGTAGTACCGCCCACCGTATTTAACCACGCATTAATTGTTTGTTCAGTGCGAGCCAATTAGTAGTTGAGAATTGGGCCACGTGCGTAGCGATTAGCCAATAAAATCGCTAATCTTATATTCACTATCCAACCACCTGCTTGACAACCTGCGCAACTGAGACCGCGATTTTCCCGCCAAGATAAAAGCTCAATAAAAACTACGTTTTGTAGTAAATAAAGGAGCGTTTCATTGG